GCCGTGTCCCCCATCCCGGCCGTGTCCCCATCCCGCCGTGTCCCCCATTCCGGCCGTGTCCCCATCCCGCCGTGTCCCCATCCCGCCGTGTCCCCATCCCGGTCGTGTCCCCATCCCGGCAGGGTTCCATATCCCGCCGTGTCCCCATCCCGCCGTGTCCCCATCCCGGCCGTGTCCCCATCCCGCCGTGTCCCCATCCCGGCCGTGTCCCCCATCCCGGCAGGGTTCTATATCCCGCCGTGTCCCCATCCCGCCGTGTCCCCATCCCTCCCCGTCCCGCGCTCCCGGGGCGGGACCCGCCCGGAGCGGCGGCCGCGGCGCCGCCTGGCGGCGGGCGGTGGCAGCGGCGGGCGGCGGCGCTGAGGCCCCGCGGCGGCGGCGGCGCTGCCGTGTTGACAGCGGCGGCCGCGCCGGGAGCTGCCCCGGGAAGCGGGTTGGCGGCGCCGGTTCTCCGCTCCCTCCTCAGCTATGGCCTTCATGGAGAAGCCGCCGGCCGGCAAGGTGCTGCTGGACGATACGGTGCCGCTGACAGCGCAGATCGAGGCGAGCCAGAGCCTGCACTCGCACACGGTGAGCGGGGCAGGCCGGGCCGCGGGGGCAGGCGGGAGCGGCCGGGGCGGGGGAGGGAATGGAGGGAGCCGGTACCGGGGGGTGCTCGGGGTCGGCACGGCGGGAGCGGGGCCGGGCGGGCCCGGAGCCGAGCCCGCGGCAGCGGGGCCGGGGGTGCGGGCGGCGGGGGGCGCAGCGGGGCGGGCTGGGGGCGAGGGGCAGCGGTGCGGGAGGCAGCGGGGCCGCGACCTCGCGGCGCCCGGACCCCGCGGCGGGGCGCGGGCTGCGCTGCTGGCTCGGCTCCGTCCCCCTCTGTGTCCGCGGGGCTCCCGGGAGCAGCCGCAGCACCCCCGGGGGCACCGCCGGGCTCTGCGGGTCCGCTCCGCGGGGTTCGCGCTGCCTCGCGTCCCTCCGAGCCAGGCCCTGCGGGTTGCTGCCACTCCTGCCTTCCTCGGGGTGCTGCAGCCTTTGGAGCAGAGATGGGCTCCGGCTGCCGCGTTTCGGTGGCTGTGGTGAAGTTACACGTGAACGGGCTGCGTTCGCCTCCGGGTCCTGCCGTGTGGCCGAGCGGCGGCTGTGGAGCGCAGACCCCGCAGCCCCCGCCCCATTGCTGAGCTGTGCGGAGCGGTGGCACTCCGCAGAACAAGCCCTGCCGTCACTTGGGTGTCGCACATTAATTCTTTTGGGATGCTAGGACACATGCACAGTGCTTCCATAAGAACTGTCTTTGAGTATGCAGTAGTAATCCAAATTCTGTAATGTCCTGTTTGCAGTTATTTTCCACTTCCAAAACCGGGTTTCATTATAGTATGACCAAGCAGTAGTGTGAATCAGAGAACTGGCTGTCATTTCTGATTCCTGCTCTAGCTGAGAGCAGGGATGCTGGAGAAGAGGCCAGAGGTACTTTCAGCAGCAGGTTGTCCAGTGGGAAGGTTCCTTTAAATGGAGAGAGTGTTTCCTTATGTCCCTTACACAGCTCTGATTCCTGCATGGTGGATTGCTTCCTGGTTCCTTGCATACCTCTAACCTGAACGACAGTAACTGCAGGTTCACCGTGGGGTATATACTAATTTACAGACTGTCTTATTAAATACTCTTCATAGAAATAATTCGCACCTAAGAAATGGTTTATTTTTTGTCTGAGAAACTGCATTTATTGATGTTCCAGTCTTTCTCTGAACGAAGTTACTGATGAGAAATTGTCTAGGAGGTCTTGTGAATCCAGCAGGCTGTGGCTCTCAATTGGTGCAACTCCTCTTGTAATTAAGACTAAAGAGGTTTATTTCCTGGCAAGTGTGATGCTTTTTACCTGTTTCAATAGCTGAAGGGTGGGTGTGCCAAGTCCTGTGAGAAGTTGTGTAACTCCTAATACTCCCCAGTTAGCAGACCAGATTATGTTTCGTTAGTAGCTTGTTTCCTTATTATGCTTTTTTGTTAGTGCAAATGACAATAGCGCTTTGTGTTCTTTCCTTTGGTTTGTGTGATTCTGGTTAGAGAAGAAAAAGTCACAAAATTCTTTTAGAATGATCTCTTGGAAGAATTTTTGAAATCCAGACCCTTCTTGTTTCTGAGGGAGTGCGATAGCCCCGTCTTTCATCTCTGTATTCTGTTACTAATGGGTGTGCTGGAAAATTCTCTACTGTTTTCTTCTGATCTTTTCTTAATAACAGAATGCTGGAGCACCGTGCCTTTTGATTTAAAATCTGTCTCTAAGATACATCTATTAGTAATTGTTTGTTTTGCTGCAGAAGCCCTGTTGATAGCTGAAAGATGGCTTGAAGTGTGTTCAGCACAGATGGTTTATACAGAGCCAATGTGGGATAACAAAATACAGGAAGCCATTAATAGAGACTTGGTTTCTTATTTGATGTAAGTGGACTATTCTGTCATTTCAGATACTTCATTTTATGTCCCTGGTGTCTGAATAGCTTGTTTATTGGTGGGTGATGCTGTCCCTGATTTGAACTTTCCTGATTCAAAATAAGCTATGGAAACAAATCCTTGTCTCTGAAGAGGTGTGTGAATGAAGCACTTCTAAGAAATAAGGGTTGAAGTGTTTTTGTGGGGTCTGAAAACTGTATTTTACTTTGTTAAATTATAGTCAGAAGAAAATAGATTGTCATTAACTGAATGCTTTTTAGTTTTCTTCCTCGTTCCACCTCAAAGTGGTATCTTTAAAAGATGTAGATCTATAAAATCCTTTATCCCAAACTAATCTTTGGAGAACTAGGCCTGTTCTAAAGCAAAGACAGCCATGATTTTTTAAAATTCTTTTGTCAGCACTATATATTAAGATTTTATAATGTTGTTTAGTGTTGCAAGTGTTGTTTTAAACTTGGGTTTGTACTTTTTTCCTGTAGATCATAGCTTTTAAAAGTGCCCATATGAAGATGGCTTAGGCTGAGTTTAGGTGCAACTTTAACATGGCAACTGAAGTAGTAGTTATATAAACCTCCTGTTGGTGCTGAAAATAGCCAGTCTTCTGAAAAAACAGCTAAGGAAAAGGTGAAGAATTTCAGGAAAAGCTGTAGACACAGTGAAATATCACACAGAAGACCAAAGCTTGTGTCTAATGAATAGTTTGCTTGTGTATTGTTCTAAGCAGTTTCTGTTAATTTAAATTTAGTACAACAGACTAGGTAAGTGTAAACTCCATAGCGTTGAATCAAGGGCTGTACTTGGCACAGGCTGAGTTTCTGTTTCCTGAGGCTGAAGGTGAAACTGAAAAAAAACAAAACTGAAAACAAAACCTGAGACTACTATGTTCTCACCTAGTTCTCCAGAAACCTAAGAAGGGATTAAGCTATTATTGAAAATGGACTTTTGAGGATTTGCACTTTTTGCTTAGTAAGAGTATGTCAACCCCCCATAAATGGGTTTTTAGATTGTTAGGGAGCCAACTGCCAAATTATCTCATAGGCACATAGGCTCAGCATACTTTGTTCAAGTCAGAAGAGCTCAGAAGTTCTTACTGGACTTAGGATATCTGAGCTGCAACATAATCTCAATGTTTTTGCATTGCAACAAAGAAATTGTTCACTGAGTTTTTATTTCTGTGTATTTAATTCCAGTCATAATTGGAAGAGGAAAATGATGCCTTTCTATGTTTGCAAAAGTTGTTTCCCTGGTTAAGTGTGTTACAAGCAGTCTGAGTTTTGTTGGAATTGGCAATTAAATACAATTAATTCTATAGCGTGGTGTTTATGGAGTCCTTTTCATTTTGAAAGCCAAAAAAATTCATATTGCAGGTGCATTCCAATGGCATCTCACTGAATAGATTTGAAATGACGAGAGCAAGCCCAGTCAGCTTCATTTTCTCTCCTTCTTTATGCTTCAGCCTCTAGCACTGCCTGTGTAACTTCCAGGGGTGTGTTGGGCACCTTTCCACAGCCATGAGTCAGTCCCTTTGTAGGTCTGTGTACCAGCCTTTTTGTAGAAAATGAAGTTTTGTTGCTATTGCATTCCTTGACTTCAATAGGAGCAGGAGTACATCCAATATACTAAGCCATTTGCAAGTATCTCATCTTGATGCCAAATGTTGTGTTCTGACAACAGAGGCAATTTCAACACGAAAGCTTTAATACATTTTGGCTATTAAACTTGCCTCATATTGCAATATTTCATCTCTGTGTTCACCATTTAATAGTGGTTTTTTTCTAGAGCCTTAAAATAGGACGCTATTTTCTTCCATGAAAATCTTGACATTTTCCTTATTAAGAACTATACCTGCAAGTCTGTTCAGCAGTAAAACTACTGGTGAGTTGTACGTGTTCTTAACATTTCTCAGTTCTTTTCTGAAGTAATTTTCCTTTTTCATGTGTTTCATATTTTGAAATTGAAGTAGTGAAACAGCCAGCTTTGATACAGTACATTGTTGTCTTAAAGGCATTTGGAAATGAACAGCTGAAATAAATCTCTCTCCTAACAATCTTTCAGAGTTTCTAGTTTTCCTTAAGCAGTGTTGAATGTTGACAGTCATGGCTGTTAGATTTGGAAAACGTTGAAAAAGCATTTATATTTTTCCTATATTGTTCCAAATAGAAAAATGGAGCCACATATTTCTAGGACTGTAGAGTTTCATTTAAAAGCTTGTAAAAGATTTTGTACATCTGCTTTACAAGGAATTCAGTCTTCTCAAGGCTGCATTCACTTTGGACAAAAACAAACATGAAGTTACTTTTAGACATGGCTTTACACAAGGAACTGTCGTAGTTCACTGGTTTCAGAAATGCAGTTCCTCCCCTGGATTTAGTCAGTAAACTTGATTATCTCCCACCTCTCCTCCAGCCTGAGCTCACAAAAGATGGCTCTTTCGTCACACAATTTTAAATATTCCAAACTTAGGGTTTCCACTGGTGATCTTACTAAATTAGTATTGCATTTGTAGGTCCTGTGAAGATTGTAGTCAAAATATTAGTTTCCATATTGTACTTTAGTAAACCCTAATTAGAATATTTTTGTTGGCCACTGAGTATTTCCTCAAAAACTGTGAGTAATTTGACTTTCTGGTGAAGGTCATGGTGATGCAGAGCACTGAAAATCTGTAATTTCTCATCTCTCTCCAAGGTTTTTTGTGTTCACTAAGTTTCATTGCATGTCAATGTGTGTCCTATTTTTTCCCTGCAGTTGTCCTACTTCATAACTTTCACTTAGTCAATGGCTGACTCATTACTACAGAAGGGATGCAGTGTGTGAATGGTGCAGCACAGACACACACCTGCATTGTTTAGAAAGTGGGGAAACACCAACCACTGCTGCTGCTTCTACCTCAGATGGGCTTAATGGCAGGCTGTGCAATAGCAAATAAATACTGTGCCCTGTAACAGAGAGGCCTCTGAGGCTGAGCAGCTCTCCTGATGTTGTTGCTACTTTTCACATGGGAGATTTTCTAAATAAACATTTAAAAGAGCTTCTTACTAGAAATTGTTCCAATCCAGCCTACTTAAGCAGGGATTGTATTCATGCTTAATTAGGCTTTTCTCTCTTTAATGCTTATAAAATAAAGCCCTTTCAAACTTTTAGTTGATGTGACCTGAAGGTGACCTGGATCTTTATAAGGGCTGGCTTTTCAAGCCTGTTGGATTAAACAGATGTAAAGCAGAAATCTGTGGAAAAAGAGACTGACTATCCTGAGCTGGAAATTTAGAGATGATTTGCCTGGGGAAACAGAATGTGTTACCCAATATTGTTGAGCTATTTCATTATAAGAATCTCTTAACTCACCACTTTTTTTTCCCCCTGTTTTGTCTCTGCAAAAGCCTTCTTTCCGGTTTGCTTCCTGTTTCAAAAACTAGGAATGATGATAAAGAGCAATTGTTAAACATTTGGAGTGCTTTGCTGTGCAATTTCCCCCCCAGGAATGTTAACAAAATTTTGCTGAGCAGCTCTGGGTTGCTGATGATAATGTTTTAATAATTGCTGGAGCACCAGGGACTAATCTTGGTGAATTTTGGGGAGAAAAAAACCCCAAGAAATGAAACCATCTAAATCTTGGCTCTACCTGAAAATGGGTGAATTCAGGGTAACATTAATCCCACGCAGTGAGTGTGAAACTGTTATCAGCAGTGTGGTTGTCACTGATCCATGTGGTTATATGGAAAATACTCCTTTTCAGAGCTCTATCCAGAACTCTGTAGTACTAGGAAGAACATTTTAGGAAATGATTGTGTAGCTGGGGTCATACATATTTCCCTGCTCCCAACCTCCTCCTCCCAGCACCTATTTCAGCTTTTTTTGACTAATTGGAGCAGCCAGGAAATGATCCCATAGGTAAAACTGCTTTGCTTGGCATCTTTAAAAATGTATTTTGAGCTGCTGCAGGAATATCAAGGTTGTGTCATGAAGTGGTTTGGCAGTACAGGTAGGAAGAGCAGCGGATGTACAAACCTTACCTGTGTGGAGGGAGCCAGGGAGGTTGTTTTGGGAATGGTTTTGTGGCTTGTCCTGTTGGAGGCTCCTGCTGACAGTGACCTTGCTGCTCGTGGGCAAAGCATAGGGGGAGGTTGTCTCTCTGCTGCAAGCTGAGACCTTTCTTTCCCAACCAGCAGCTGTTAGGGCTCCTTTGAAGTTATTTGGTAAACTGAGTCATAGGAAAAATTCTGAGCTATTCATGTAGGAGTGAAAGATGCCATGGGAATTTGTACAGGAGTGTAGCTAACATTGACCTCCCTGAGCCTGGTTGCTGATGCTTAAAATTATTTGCAAGAGTGAACTCTGGTAATTACTAGCTTTTTCTGAAGGCATTTCCACCCTGTTTTCCTATGTTTGATGATGTTGCTAAACACAGATGAACCTGAGTGTGCCTCTGTTTTCCTTATGCTTTCATTTATTTCCTATGGGCAGTCCCACTATCAGGTTGTCTCAGAAGAAGACTGTTGTAATTCAAGTTTTTTTTCCTAACTAAAACAGAAGTTGGCAGAGCAATAAAGGCATTTATGCATTTAGATTTGAAGAGTTGAAAGCTCTTCTCTGGTCCTATGGGAAGCATATATCAGTGTGCTAATTATAATCCCACGACAAGTTTGTTGCCACACAGAGGCAATAGGAAGTATCAACTTCTCACTGGAACTCAGCATTCTGTGGTCTGCTGATTATGTGTACCCCTGGCAGATACTGAGAATGGGGTTGTATTATCCTTGCTTTTCTACTATTACTGTTCTTTGACTTTCAGTCTTATTACCAGCTTTGGGGGGAAAGCCCCTCCACTAACTCAGAAGATCATTTAGGCTTTTTCATTAGTTGTATTGACAGGGTAGTCCTGAGTTGGACAAAAATTCATTATGGAGATGTGTGTGGTGGAACTTCCTTACAGACACAACTAATGGCCTCATCTGGAGAGTGTTTGGTCTTCTCTTTCCAGTTGCAAACCCTGTAATATAAAAAAGGAACTTGATTAATGCATTAGGCCACAAAAGCAAATATGGATGGGATGGGAAAATGCTCAAGTAAGTGTGGGGAAAAATAGTTGTGGCCCAAATAAGGTTTTTTTAAAATATAATCTTACAGTGAGAATGAGCTCTGTGTCCCAAGTTGTGTATCATGAGGCTCTCCAGAAGAGCCGTGTTGACCAGTGTGGTTGTGTGCAGTAAGATCCTTTCATGGTTCTTTAATGAATTTGTGTTCTGCCTGTCTTGAAGCATTTTCTTGGGGCTCAATAGAAAATTACAATCACTGGATAAAGAGAAGTGCTACAAGAGATTGAGCAATAACTCAGCTTCTTCCAAAATCCTAGAAAAGATGAATGACTGCACATGGTGAATCATCACTGGTGTGGTTTTTCAGAAAGCAGCCAATGTTCCTTTGAGACTTGATGAATAAGCAGTTGCTGCAATTTTTTGTCTGTGTGTGAAGTAGCCTCTTCCCAAAATGCAGTAATGGTCACAAAACAAGGAAACACACATTAGAGGTGAATATGGGTTTCCAGGTGTCCCATTAATTGATTTCTGTCATATAGTTTCCAAAGATAATTACTCTGGTTAAATCTTATCAGCTCTGTGTATTTATGTTACTAGTTATGAGGATTTGGGCTTCTTGTTTTGAAGGAAGATACCATAATTATGATTTCAAATGGGTAAGAGGAAAGAATATGGAGGAGCCATGTTAGGCTGACTTTCTGAAAATAGACACTTTGGGTGTAGGTATTTACTGGCATTTTACTTTGTTATGGTGGTGGCAATAATTCCTGGGGGCACTTGTTAGATACTGGAGGTGGGAAGGGAGAGGTTTCTTCAGCTGTTGTGGGTAGAGCTGTGTGCTGAGATGCTTTTGCTGTCTTCTTCTGTGACTAAATGAAACCACTTGAGTGCCCCACAGGTGTGCAAGCTCCTGGAACTCTCCTTGTCCTCTGTGCTGGGAAAGCAGAGCAGAGCAACTGTTAGGGATGGGTCTGAGCAAACCCAGGTGTTGGATCTGAATGTTCTGCATTTGAATGTTAGTTGTCTTATTTGAAGAAGTGCCTAATATTTCTTCAGCTCATTAGTTCTCATGTATAATTTTTTTCCCTTTTACTAGGAGTACATAATCCGTGTCCAGAGAGGAGTTTCAACAGAAAACAGTTGGCAGGTAATTTCTTAAGTTGTAGTTCATGTAACCGGGACTCCTTTTTTAGGAAAAGTTTGAAAATTGCCTATTGCTACCTTTTAAAATTTGAGCTGGAAAGAGAAATGTTGATTTGAAATTGAGAACATGAAGTGCTTGAATTCTTTTGGTCAAAGCTAAGAGAAAAACAGTATTGCTGCCAGCTACAGAAGGCATGTTGTCTGCTGCAATTCTGAATATTCCAGGAAAAATGCCTGTCATGTGTTTCTACTGTGTGTTGGTACAACCATAAATTTAAAATCTAAAATTCCAGTTTGCCTTTCTCAGTGCTAAAATCACAGCTCTGCTTATATGAGACCAGTGAAACCAAGAAGTAGTAATAAAGATGAGTGTGAAAAATTGTCACATCTAATATAGCAAAAATGCCTTGTTTGCAGACAACTTTGCTCACAAGTACTGTTTTAAGGTAATTTTTAGAAATGCATTTTCTGTCTGATCAAGCTGTGATTAAAAACTCTTTTTTGCTCTCTGGCAATGTGACATAAATCCAACAGTTAGGCATTTGTACAAAAATTGCAAAAGAAGATAATTGTAAATGGGAATTCATTTTTTCTGATGGGATTTTGAGAAGTAAAATGCTAATAGAAAAAGGAATTTGTTTCCTGAACTTTGTATTTTATTTTACAGATCGTGAGGCGATATAGTGACTTTGACTTGTTGAATAACAGCCTGCAGGTAATTTTCACTCTTCATATATGAATAAAAAATGCTGTTAGAAGAATATATTCAGAATTGTGATATTTATGCCTTGTGGTATTTTTATATATTGTGGTGAAAGAAAAAAGCTCCTACCTAGTTGTAAAGAGCTGTAAACTGTGACTTCAAATGTAACATGAATATATACTTTTTCATCTTTAAGTTTTCTCATGTAAAAATTGAATTTTAGTATCAGCAGGATGAATTTATATAGAAATGGAGGAAATTGGCAGATGCTGAATCTTTCCCTTCAGTCCTGTGACTTGTTCCGGTTTTATGTGTTTTTATTTGTTCCTCCTTTGATTTGGAGAAAGCCAAGGCACATACCAACCTTATAAATTCAGCATTGAAGTGCTATGTGTCTCATTATTTATATTCGTCTAAAAGCACTACCAGATGCTGCTTCTCATGTGATGGTTTTCTGTGTCACTGAGGAGTGTTCCTTGGTCAGACACTGGACTTACTGTGTGTTTTCTTCTGCTTTTTAGGACAATTATTTCTTTTTAGTTTGTGTGGGAAAAAGCAGAAGTGTGAGTGTGTTTGGGAACGGGGGGAAGCAGCAGTGATTAACATCTACAGGAGACAAACTCATTACTTGAGATTTCCATACTGGGCAAACAGGATAAAAAGCGAATGGCACGATTTGAGGATAGATTTTTGTGACTTTAAAATTTTTCCCTTGTTAAGTGTTTCATGAATTCAAGAGCTTAATACTGCTTCCACTTCCCCCCTCCTCCCCAGATCAAATCAACTATCTGCTTGATGAGCCTTGATGAGCAAAACCCTGTAAGGATGTTGATTTGTGTGCTCTGAGAGCCCACTGTAACTGCTCCCTCTGCTGCAGGTGGACAGGGCCAAATCAGTCATAATTCAACAGATGCAGCATGGTTACCTTGTGGAATTAATCTGTTAAATGTGCAGCAGCACGTAGGAACTTGTATCATGACCTAGAAACCTTCTCTGTGATGTGCTGAATAAATGCAATACAGAGGTGTCTCCTGCACCAGAGACATCCAAGATCTAAAATTAGACAAACACCCATGGGAACACAAGGAGTTGAGTTGGTACTAGTCATCAGAATACCTTGGGGTCATTGTGGTCTAACATAGTTTGGATGGATATCACAGATTAAAAAAAATTGTGGAAGTTTTAAAAAGAAGGAAGAGTTCACTTTGCAGCCACCTATAACAAGCTGCTCTTAACCATGGGGGAATAGTGTGTTAAGGCATGAAAAGGCTTTGTTGCCTTCTCATTTACCTTTCAAATGAGGCAGCTTTAGTAGAGAAGGCAATGGACCTTTAAAACTTAAAATCCAGAAATGACAGGTACTGCAAAGTTAGGCCTGTGTGAAAAATCTGTAAAGTGAAGGTAAATAGGTTATGTATGATGGAGTTTAGAAAGAAAAAGCCTTTTTATCTGAAATAGAAGTGGATTATAAAAGTGGAGGGTCCAGGAAATTATCTGAGAGCAACTTTGCAGAGTGAGACAAAGGGGAAATTGGAAACAGGAGAGACTAAGATCCAGGATAAAATGTCAGCTGCTTGGATGACTGGAAAACGTTAAAAAGAATTATCAAAATGTACCTCTAACTTAAATGGGAGGATATAAGAGGGTGGCTAAATTAGCAGGCCATGTGCTTTAGCAGTTGGTCTCCTGCAGTGGCTCTTTTCTCCCACTGTTTCAGAGTTTTTTATAAATTAATCTTTGTGATGCTGGAGCTGAACTTTCCTCATCTGTTAAGACAGTAAAACACTTCTCAGATGTTTCCATCCAAAACTAAGCAACAATATTCCATCACAATATTCAGGTCCAGTGACATATTTTAAAACTCTTTAAGCTCTCATCTTGTATATATTGAAATTAGAGTAAACAAACAAAACTCCAAACAAATAAGAAGATACCAAACCCTAATCTTTTTCCTTCAAAGCTAAAGATCTGCTGGAAGAACTGCTGGAGCTTCTTTTGAGTGTAAAGCCCAAGTTCTCCAAGTTTTTCTGGCATACTTGACCTCTCTGTGTTTATGTGGATGTGTTTGAGCACAGTTGCAGTTGAGTTGGAATGCAAATTTTCTGTTCTTAATCTAGTGCTATGTACAGTAAGGATTGATAATTTAAAAATTGTCTAGGCAAAGGAATGCAGTCATGCCAAGCACCTTGGGAAAAAATGAAGTGTATATATGTGACCTTGATTTGTATCAGAAAGTTTCAAGACATGTTCCCTTGAACTCTCAGTTGTACCAGATTGAAAAGCTTCTTCCAGTCCGTTCTGCATTTTTTTCCTCTTTACTTATTTGACAGAGATCAGTGGAAATCATTCTTCTGTTTTGTCAAGTGAAGTGCTGGTACTGGAAGTACTGGAATTCACAGCAAGATATCTGGCTTTTGTGAAGCATTTTATTGCAGCTTTTGAACAGACATTCCTGAGCAGGCTGTGGTTTGAAGATAAGAATGTTAATTCCCAGGTTCTTCCCTGGCAAGCCCATCCTGGCTCCAGTGGTGAGCTGGGGCCACTGAGAAGCGGTGTCTGAAAGCATGTAAGGTCTTTGCAAGGTCAGGCTCTCAGTGAGGTGTTCTCTGCTGGAGTGCTCTTGCTGTGCTGTGCTGTGTGTTTTGGCAGATGGCTACAAAAACCTGGGCCTGAATGTTACTTTCTGTTGAAAAATAGTAGAAGTCTGATTTATGAGTTTAAAACAAATGATAATGGTTGGAAAACCTGTGAATTAGAGTCAGTTTCTCTCTGATGGTGGCTAGCTGTCAGGTCAAGAAGGTAAAGGTGATGAAGATTTGACTTGCTTTTTAAGTGAGTAATTCTAGAAAAGGTCTCAGCTCTTGTTTAGACACTCAGTTTTTAATTAAAATGAGTGGTCTGCCAAAAGAGTTCTCTTTGTCTCTGGTGCTAAAACTAATTTGGTGAATTACTGGCTGTAAGTGATATATGGTTGCTTTTGGGTTTTCTTGCTGGTTTATAAATAGTTTCTGTAATTCAGACATAGTTATAGCTCTTTTTCAGCCCATAATTTGAAGTCAGAAAACGAGAAGTAGGAGAAGTGCTGAAGTTAGCAGAGGACAACTCCTGTGTTCAAATGAAGGAAGTAGAAAGGAAGGGGAATGCTCCTTCTGCCCCAGTTTGTTGAACTAATCCACTTTTTTCACTAGTTAAAATGAAAGTTGTTAAAACACCAGAAGTCCCAGTCTTCTCCCTGGTGAACTCTGCTTTAGAAATGAGGTTATTGCATCTGGTGCAATTGATTGCTGCAACATGCAATTCTTGAAGATAACTCCCATGGGGATTCAGCTTACCCAAGGCAGGTGCTTTGATCTGCAGGACAACGATGTGTTAACAACACGAAAAATGTGTTCTGGCTATTCACATGACGTAATTGAATCTAAACACTAAAGATGATCTCTTTGATCTAATTTGCAAAGGCTTTGAAATTTTTTTCATTGTCCTATTTTGAAGGATTTCTCTGATTTTTTCCCTTAAGTTTTGGATCTCTTGTGTCAGTATAATGCAATTAGCATACATCCCCTGGTATATTGCAGCTATTTCTGGGTTGAAAGGTATATAGATGTTTAAAAAATGTACAGGAGCAAATTCAGAAGATAAAATGGAAATCTGCACTGTATTTGAAATTACATATTTATACATAGAGGCAGATGAAAGGTACTAATCTGCACTTGATGAAAAATGGTAAGGTGTGAATTGTTTTTGTGCTGTGGCAGAATAACGTCATAGAAAGAATCTGGCTGAAAATTGTCACTATTAAATATCTGAAAGTTTTGGGTAGTGATCTTAAATGTATGAATCACTAGCAAAAATTTGTTTCCTTGTATTTTCAGTGTTGTTCCACTTAATAATCTCTTCACAGTGGGATGTGAGCTGTCATCTGATTCTGATAACTGTGCTAGGAAAAATAGAAAAGCTTGTACATACACTGTACAAAGAGTTATCCAGCTTGCTGCTGAGAAACGTTTGCTTTCTGGGTTGCTAGTTTTATATCCTTGAGGCATTTTGCAAGCAAGGTTAGTAATTTTTCCTCTCTTTTTAAGATCTCAACTCTAAGTCTACCTCTTCCTCCAAAAAAGTTGATTGGAAATATGGAGCGTGAATTCATTGCTGAAAGACAGAAGGGACTCCAGGCCTACCTGGATGTGATTACTGCCCATCACATACTGTCTAACTGTGAACTGGTAAAGAAATTCTTGGACCCAAACAGCTATTCTGTAAATTACACTGGTAAGTCAAAAATACAGAACTGTACTTCACTTTGACTTCAGCACGTGCTCTGTATCTTCTGTGAATGCTGGCCAGGATCTACACTGAAGCATGGGGGGAATAATCTTCAAAATTATCCTACTGTGCCTGTGATTATTTGTGATAATGCTCCTCCAGCTCTGTGCATGGATCCTGCTGGGATTGTGAAATATAAATATTTGAATTATTTCACAGAGGAGTGAAGAGGGTCAAGATCTGTATAAGCAGAACTTGGAGGAGGAGGGTTGGTGAGAGTGACATCTAGTTTTCGTAATTCATAATAAATGAAAAGAGTTGCTCTTGGGAAATAATTTTTCTGTCAGAGTATAAAGTGGAGTTAAGTTTGTTAGCTTAGAGTTCTGTTAAAACAGACCATTTTCTGAGCCCTGAATCTTTCAAGAATTGTGGTTATCTTGTCCAGCTCCTACCCTTGCTTTGAGGTGTGATCTAATTTAGAACTAGTTGTTTGAGCTAGGTTGAGTACTTTTTCAAGGCTAGACTAAGCCAGATACTCTTTTCCCACAGATACTGGAAAGTCACTGCATTCCTTAAAATTATATCCCAGTGATCAGTTTCTTCATTGCTAACTGTTTATTCTTTGAATTTGTCTTACTGCAGCTTCAGCCATTGGATATCAATAAATATTTGTCTTACAGATTGAAAAAACTTCCTCTTAGTGATGAAACCCACTCCACAAATTTAGTTCATATACAAACCAACTCTTTGCAAAATGCAAAGCTTGTTTTCTTAGAAGCAGAGCCTGCTGAAGCAGGAACTCAGTGCTTCCTTTTCACTTGTCTTTTTTCCCTCTCTTTATGTAACATTCTTGTGTCTTCAGCTTCAAAGTGCAAAGAACATTTCCCAGTATGATAAGCTGTGCAGGAGTTGTAAATTATTAGTAACTCTTTAAGGATGCAGTTTGTCTGGCTAATGCTGAGCAAGCAGTTTAAATTCTCAAGGAGGTGTTGTGATGTCTGTGTTAATTTTGAGCACTTTCATGAAGATTGTTATTCCTGCAAGTTGCTGGGAATCTGGTGACACACGTCATTGCCTGTGGTCTTTAGAGATGCCATCAGTTTGTAATTTCCTAAATACTGGAGCAGAGAGATTATACTTATTACACATTTTTTCCTAGCATATTTCTGAAGAAAGAAGATACAGTGCAGAGAGATCATCACATCCTTACTTTTTGCTGTGTTTCTATGCCATGATTCCCTTGGCATGATTCCCTTTCTCTCCCCCAGTTCTCATTGAGATTTCCCCTCAAGTCCCTTCATGAATAAACCAGTTGTATTCCCAGCTGTGGGAGAATTCACTAACCAGATGGGTGTCCTCCCCCTTGGCCCTCAAAATGTATGAAGTCCCATGATAGCTGGCCAAATACCTCTGCCTGCACAGAAAAGGGCACAATAACCTGTAGTGAAACAGAACTAGTTTACAAACTACACTTAGTAATAGCAACATAAATGGATGTCAAAAAGATAAAAGCACTTTTACAGATGCAGCAGAAACATTTGGTGTTCTAATGTTGTGTACACCTAGTGTGGGAAATCTGAGCTGTGATTTAGACTTGGAAATGTAGATCCAGTACAGATAGAATGGAGATTGTAGGCTAAGTATTCCAAGCAGTGCTTTCTCTGTTTTCTCTCTGGATTTGAGTTACCAGGTTAAAAACTCAAATGCTTTCTAACTGTATTTTTATCTGGTTTCCTTTTGAATTGATTTTGCTGACTTTTAGTCTGAATTCCTGAAGGCTTCCTTCTGGCATTGGACCTTGCCTCATATGTGGATAATTACATTATACAGTGTCTTAAAAACATTTAAATTTTTTTCTTCTTTTTCTCCCTCTTTGTCTCCTTTTTTTCTTTCCAGAAATTGCCTTACAGCATGTTTCAATGTTCTTCCGATCAGAGCCAAAGTGGGAAGTAGTTGAACCATTAAAAGATATAGGTAAGAAGGCCATGTGTGCATGAAAACTTCTTTGATTTTTTTCCCAATTATGAGAGTTGTCCTAAGGTTCCAATACTGTCTTTGCTTACAGACCTTGTCCTACCTGCAAGCTGTGTGATTTGGCAGTTTAATTAAAGCCCCTGCTGAGTTTTTTCTTTACTTTTTTTTGTAGGTTGGCGAATACGTAAGAAATATTTCTTAATGAAAATTAAGAATCAACCAAAGGAACGGCTAGTGTTAAGCTGGGTATCTATGCTTTAATTTAATTCTTAAGTCTTTCTTAATTTCACTCAAAGTTTGATTTTGACTATCATGTGTGAGTGATGGGGAGAGAGATTGAAGAGCTCAGGCTTTGAGACAGCTTTGGAAGCCCTTAGGTAGATGTGTGATGTGGAATTTCTTGTTTTTCTTTCCTCTGGTGGCAAATCCAGTTTGGAACTTTCTGTGCCTGGCCATTTGTTCCCAAACCTGCACCTCAGGATTCTTTACTTGTAATGATGTGGCTGTTGACCATAATATAAATGTGCTCACTGAAAATAATGAGATGAACCTTTTTAAAGTCATGGGTTTTCCTACTCAGACTTTTAGTTGTACTGACAAACTAATAGGTGAGCAGGGCATGAATTGCTCCCTCAATGAGAGTTGATTTTGCTCCTGTTCTGAAATGTGCTGCCCTGTTAGTTGTATGAGCACAGCTGTTTGTGAGACTTCACTGGAGAGCAGAGGTCACTAAAGCCTGTGGGAGGAGGGAAGTTTTTCTTGCTGCAGAGGAAGAAGGTGCCTTATCAGTTCCTAATGTACACAGTCCCCAGTTTAGGGTTGGCAAAGTTCATTCAGTGGTAGCAATGCATGTCAGGTCAGTGGGAGAAAAGAGGCAGTAATATTTATGGTCGGGATGTTTGTATGGCCTTATGCAGCCTCCTCATGTTTCATTTTGTATGTGTAATTTTCTTGCTTGCTCTTCAAAATATACCTTCAAACATGTGGCCTAATATGCCAAGGTAGAACATTGATCACATCTTCTGTATGGAATGCAACATGTATTTTTATGCCATTCTTATCCTGTTTACTTCCAGGCTGATCTTGGCCCTGATAAATACTTGTCTGACAGAGACTTACAGTATGCTGTGAAACTTCTTTCTTCCTGTTCTGTGAGTACTGAAGATTTTAAAATTTTGCTAGTATGAAAGTGTGTGTCAAGGACTGATCTTGGAAAAGCACATGTAGCCTAGTTGGCATAGTTTGTAGTTTTAGGGTTGCTTTCATTAAAGGTTTGCAAACCTTTTAATTAAATTTCCCATATACTGTGAGGTAACGTTCTCAGCACAAGTAATAATCCTGCAGGATTACTAAAGGAGATTCAGTGTTGTGGTTGATTTGATTTTTTTCCTTCTTGTGCAGTACTGTGAGATCATGAGCTTTTATTTAATCTCCTCAACACCTTCAGGCTGTTAGGATAGAACTGTTTAAGTGAAATTGCTAATCCGTGAGCTGGGATACTCCCAGGCAGCAGTGGATGAGGCAGTGGAACAAGTATTGTTATTTTTTCAGTTCTTTGGACTCAGGAGCATCTTAATAGAGCTGCAATGGAGGGTGTACTATTTAAGCTCCTGTGAAATGCCACATTATAAATCCAGTAGACATCTCTGCCTGAAAAACTGGCATTTGACTCCAAAAGGAGTCTCTGGAGTCTCTGTTTAAGGTTGTTAAGCATGTGAAAAACTGGCTGAAACAGGTTTTTTTTTGTTGTTGTTTTTAATTTATATGTTAATTGAATAATGTCTTTGTGAAGTTTTTTTTTTTTGCATTTACTACAGGTTAAGACTGAATATTTTCAGTTATTCCTTATCACTGACAGAATCCAATTTACTACTTTAAATACACAATTCAGACTGGTATTTTTTTACTTGTGAATTGAACACAAATGATTTAAAAATCTATCATCTGAAATTTACCTACAGTTTCTTCTTTTGGTAGCATCCCTATATTTACAAAATCACTTTTGCCATTGCCAACGAATCTTCAGCACTGGTTATAAGACCATTCAGTGAAAAAGGGACACTAAAGGACCTCATTTATAAGGTAACATCTTCCCCTTACCCCCAAGTCAAATGGCAGAACATATGCTGGAGTGACCATACATGTTTTTTATAAAAGTGTTTGCCATCAATTGCTAAGCAAACTAAAGCAAATTATGACTTTTCTAGGCATAGTACTTGATTCGTGTGTTTCTTTTAAAGGCAAAGCCAAAAGATCCATTCCTGAAGAAGTATTGCAATCCTAAAAAAATTCAAGGTCTTGAACTTCAGCAAATAAAAACATATGGAAGGCAAATATTAGAGGTAATTTTTTTCTTTATTTACCGGCTTTTTTGATTTATTATTTTGGAGGCCAGCTGGTCTAACTACAGAAAGTGGACAAACCTTCAGCAGAATTCAAAGCTAAATGCAAATTGAGATACACTGCTGAGTTGAATTTAGATATATTTGTGTGAGACCATTTATGACCCCCCCCTAGAAAATGCAGTTGGTATATGTAGAGCTTAAATGGGAGAGGTGATAATATAGTCTATTCCTTGTGTAACATGGGAAAGAAGTACCTCATAGCCTGCAGAACATGCCATAAATGCATGCTTGTTAGTGTGTTTTAAATTTTTTTAATTGAAACTGTTATATTCAGTAGAATTTAAAATTTTAGTTTCCAGATCTCTTTGGGAGGTGTCCATAAGCCTGCTTTGAGGATCAGCATCAAATATTTGTTTTGTGAAAAGTCCTACCAGTGAAATGGGAATGAATAGTCAGCCAAAGAGGATGTAGATAAAAGATCAAGTTGAGTGAGCATTCCAAACTGGGGCCTCATTTATTATGTGTCTGCTTTAGTATTGGAGCATTTAAGTGATGATCTTACAATCTTGAAAACATCAGACCATCTTGTGATGGTGCTTCTCTATTCAAATTCTTTCAGGTATTAAAATTCCTCCATGAGAAAGGATTTCCTTATGGCCATCTTCACTCTGCCAATGTGATGCTGGATGGGGATACCTGCAAGTTACTGGATCTAGAAAATTCCTTGTTGGGACTTCCATCATTTTATCGATCATACTTTTCACAGTTTCGGAAAATTAATGTAAGGTTCAGACAAGGAATTCATGCAAATCTTTATTCTCAACCTTTGTTTGTGGAGAACTGACTAGAATGAAAAAAAATCTCTCTCAAGCACCTTTTTTTTCATCAGAGCTTTACTCCATCAAATTGCTTTTTGCTTCCTCCAAATCACTGCACAGCAGTTCTGTTGCAGCACACTGGAGCGAGGCTGAGGCCAAAGGTAAACAGGTAGAGGGGGAGTGCAGGTGAGTGTTTTTGTGACAACAGTGCCAGCACAAATAGAGGTAAAGTGCAATTGTTTTAATATCTCTTTCCACTCTGGTCTGTACTTCATAGGAATTTGCATATTGTCTACTACAGTTTCACTTTTATGTCTGTACAGTGAGCACAGCTATTTACTTGTGCCTAGCTGGGAGAAGTAATCTTTGGTGGAGACTGTGAAAATTGATCAGATGCTTGCAGATTCTAGCTATTTAAGGGTTATTTTTATTTGTTTGAGGGGTGTCTGACTACAGGCTTGCAAAGCAAAATATTTATCTAACTGCAAAAATATGAAAACAAATATGCCTTGTTGCAGCAACATCATTCCCTGCCTTTAGGCTCTCATCGTAATAAATTCTGTGCAGCATCATGAGAGAGCTGCTTGCTGGTCTTGCTAAATAAGTTCTGTATTGTCAAAGAAATGATCACAAGTTCATGGTTAGTCCATATCTATTAGTGCCATCAAAACCTCTTACTGTAAGAAGAGCCTCTTCTGTTTAAACATGATTCAGAAATCTTGGAAATATGCTGTCTGGGAGATCAGCATGTATGTACAGCTTGCATGAACGTATGGAGGAGCAAAAGAGACTCTCCTAGGTTTGATTGGTATGCATTTTTTCCCCATCTTTTTATCTTCTTCCCTGTAAAGTGACAACTGATCATTTTATGAATCTCATTCTTTGCTATTTGACTTAGCTAGGAAAGTGTGCTTGGTTGGAACTTCTGTTGCTGTGCAGATGTCTAAACTGCTTTGTGAAGAGTTTACTACTTCACACATTTTTACAGAGCATGACTATACTGCTCTCCCATTTATACCATCTTGTACAAAAAGACAACAGAGGCTGCTGTAGCTTGTAGCATGAAAATTTCGTCTGAGCTACAGTTATGCAGGGAAATGGTTGTGGTTAGGAACTGCCTTAATGGTTCCTCTTTTCTGTCTTCACATGCAAGATCACTGGGTTAACCACTTATGAAGAACTAGCAAGGTGTGTTTTTTTTTTCTTTTTTCCCCCACAGACTTTAGAGGGTGTTGATGTTCATTGCTTTGGACACTTGCTGTATGAAATGACCTATGGGAGACCTCCAGACACGATTCCAGTGGAGAGCTTCCCCCCTGCTCCATCAGTGTTTGTTGGTTAGTATGCAGTGCAGAACATCTCAGTCACAGCTGCCTGGGTACACTCCTAGACTTTACCAAAGATGAAGTGTTGTGAAATAGCAGCCTGAGATCTTTGCACCCTGTGACAAGAAAGAATTAGTAACTTGTTCAAATAGAAAACGTGTTCTTCATCAAATGCATGTAGTGTATGAATAAAACTTTTTTAGCTGAGTGATAAGGTAGTGTTTAACAAGTAATGAGATGCCTGGGTTCCCTTGCCTCATGTCTAACATTCTTGAAAAGCTTCTATGTGCAATAGTAATGCTATAATAAAAACCACATGCCACAGAGCTTCATCACTGCTTGGTTGATGCAATGCTTAGGGGAGCATCACACAGCAGTGCCAGACATTCATTCTAAGTCATTTGCTATCCTGCTGGGCAAAAATGTGTTCATTCTTACTTTTTCTTTGGTAGTGTCAGTGTTGGAGTCCATTCTGACTTGTGAAGCTCTGAAGAATGGGATGCCAACTGTCTCACGGCTCTTACAGATGCCGTAAGTCCTGTTCGACTTGTTTTATATTCATAGCAATGTTTTTAATTATTTTAGGAGGAAGAAACTTTCTGCTCTTGTTCCTCTTTAGAAAGATTTGCTCCTCCATCTCTGAGGGGTGTGTCCCAAGTGAAGTTGATAGGCTTTATAGAACCCATCCGTTGTTCATATGAATGTTAACGTTCCTTTGCCTCTCGGTGTGCTGGAGCTGTTACATATGCATTTCATTTAATTATTTAGGGTTTGAATTTATCCAGCCATTCAAGTAATGCAAGCATGATTGAGATCATGTACAGATTGATTTAAAGGATTTAAAAAAAGGAGTCTTTTTGCATGCTCCCTTCAGACCTACTTCAGAAGATTTTGCTATCAGTTCACTTAGGACTGGCAAAATACATCTTTTGCTTTGCTCAGCAGTGACATTTAGACCTGCTCTGGGTCTGAAATGTAGTATGAAAGTTCTGTCTGTTTTCTTGCAGGGCTGGCTTAGGGGTTCTCTGAAGCATAGACAGAATGAATTTCCTTACAGGCTGCCCTTCAAGTTTGCATGAAGGGATGAGGGCAGGCATGGGGACAAGGCCAGGATGCAGGAAGGGAGGACTGTCTGTGTGCCACTGAGTGGGGACCACCCCTGTCTGCAGTGCCACCCTGCCTGCTGGCACAGCATTCCAGGAAATTGCTGTCCCCATGCTGTGGCATGTCACCAGCATGCTGAGCATGGAACCACAGTTTTGGTGGGAGGTTCTTTCATTATTTCTTGATGTGAGATGCTGAAGCTGGGGCCTCCTCAATGGCAGATTGTCCATACCTAAATCTGGGTCTGATCTCACAGCACAGATTGCAGTGCATTTAGAGCCTGCTCTGAGGTTCTGATTTCTTAGTTGGGAAGAGTCACTGCAGCCTTCAATTCCTTTTTCTCCTCTCCTTCTTTGCTTTTTAAAGTGTGAGGTAAAGAGAGCAGTGTAAGCAGGGTAGAAACACTATAGGAAAATTCTGTGAATATTGAAATACACAGGAGTTTAAAGATGTTGAATAAACAGTCTATGCCTAGCTGCATTTGATATGTTAGATATTTTCATACCAGTACTCTTTACAAAAGTGTTCTACACAGATATGCAATGCAATTAATGTATTTTACAGCAATTAATATAATTTAAATACATATTTATTATAACCAGAAGAACATGTAATCTGAAAAGGTCAGAAAGTCCTGTAAGCAAGGATGAACTTTCATGGATTTTTTAAGTATTTTGAAATTTGCTTTATTTCTGAATTTTTTATTCTCCTGAATTAACTTGATTCTAGATGTGAATTCATTTTCTCTAGTATAGCCCGTGATAATTTTCCATAGTGAATAGCAACTCAGAAATTTTTATCTTGGAGCCAGGATTGAGGTATTCTGTGACAGTTTTCTAGTATGTTCTCCAGCACGAAGTATCTTGAAATGGGCTAACCAGTTTATTTTCGGACTACCATTGCCCTCTAGTGTCTTTGCTTTGAATGGAAAAGGATTAATCACTTATGGTGTTTCTGCTGATACCATAGAGGGGAGAGCAAAACTATTGCAATATTTGCTTTAGTTGCCTTTTGTAGAGGACAGGCAAGAATGCAGATATTTTCAAATGTTAAGTTCACTTGATCTTTCACATGTTCCTTGTTAATTCTAGGACAAGGGTTGTGCTAAGAGAAGTTTTTTAACAAGAGCAGTGATTTTGTTTAGATGAAATTTAAAATAAAGTGCCTGGACTTTTTTTTTTTTTTTTTTAATAAAGAATCCATATACTTTTAAGGAAAAGGTATTCTTTTTGGGGGGGGACCTTTCTCTGCCTTTGATAACTGTACATGTTCTATCCACTTTCAAAATAGCTCACACAAACCAGTTTTCTCAGCCGTAAGTAGTGGCTACATTCTGAGGGTTGGGTGCTGCTAATCCTACAGCAGTGCTTAGAAAATAAAAAGCAGTACATAGAAATTTGTGGCCAAGGGTTGAGGACAGAGAAGCAAAAGGAAAAAGAGTAAACCCCTCTTTTCCCTTTTGCTTCTCTGTCCTCAACCCTTGTGAACAGTAAGTAAGCGAACAGTACCAATAGTATTCTCATTTTCTTTTCCTGTCTCTTGGGGATAATATTCCTCTTTTTTCTTTTTCTTTATCAACTCTCAGATTATTCAGCGACGTCCTGCTAACAAACTCAGAGAAACCACAGTTTAAGGTAGAGTTCAACACTGATTTGCTGATGTTTGTGGAAGTGCCAGGATGGGGGTAGTTACATATTGATTGGCAGAGGGGGTTGAGGAGAGCTGGCTTTATTTGCCTCTATGGCTGTTGCCATCAGTGTTTGCATTCCTTTGCCACACTGTCCCTGAGAACTGTCCCTGGGAACGTTGTCCCCTCCCTTAGAGGGGAGCACAATGTGACCCAGGGGTGTTCAAGGGCAGCTGCTGAACTGGATGGAGCCCATCTGTGTGACTGATGGTGATGCTCTGGCTGAGCAGAGGCTCTGAGCCCTGCAGGTCCCTTGCAGTGAGAGGAAACACACTGTAAGCACTTGTGGAAGCCAGTTTTGCTACCTGAGACCATCAGCACTTTGCTGCCAGCTCCAGCACTGGGGCATTTCAGGGGCACATCTGGTCCCACTGGAAGCTGCCCCAGGGTGCTTCTTCTGGAGGATTTGTGCCCTGTGTCTTGTGTTGTCGGCCTCATAGAAATTTGGGGATGTGTCTGGAGTCTCAAAGTAGTTATCTGTCCTTGCCTTTAGAGTATCCCTTCCAGGGTTTGGTGTTTCTTTGTCCCTGCTGATCTGTTGATAGATTTGGAGTAGAAAAACATGCATCTAGAGTCTTCTTTCTGTTTCACTAAAGGAGTAATGTCACATCTTGGGGCTTTAGATGAGAAATGTCATCAGATGTATGGTGGGTGAGTTTTGATCAGTGAAGTTGTGCTTTCCTTTATCACATTTTGTGCTATGATTTTGTTCCCCATTCTGTATTAGATTCCTACTAAGCTAAAAGAGGCATTGAAAATCTCCAAGGAATGCATAGAAAAGCGATTAACAGAAGAACAGAAATTGGTAATGTCTACATTTCTTTATTTCCTACAGACGTTTTACATGCAGAAAGTGACTTTTTACTCAAAAGTGATTTTGAGTAGTAAAGGCTTTCACCAGCAGATTTACTTTCCCAGAAATGCAATATGAGGAGTTGTATCACAGCTCTTAACTGTATGGCATTTCACTATTTTAAGAGGTGTAGTTTCACAGGTAGTGGCTCCCAAGTTAGAGGATCATTTTAACTTCAGTACAAGTCTCCATCTCTACCAGAAGGAAAGGCTAGAAATGAAAAAGGAAATCCAAGCATGCATAGTGACTACAGTGTGTTTTCTTGTATCCCAAACATTGTTTTCAAACATTTGAGATTCTACTATGGTCTTTTTCTATTTTTTCCTTAATTTTGCAGATTCACCAGCACAGAAGGTTGACAAGAGCTCAATCTCATCATGGCTCTGAAGAAGAAAAAAAGAAAAGGAAGATCTTGGCACGAAAAGTAAGCAATCTTTAAATAGGTTTCTTCCACAGAAAAATATGTGTTTATTTTTGTAACGTTTACCGTGAACAGGTTTAGCCATATGTACATGACTGTACTCCTTCCTATGTTTTTCTGTATTACTTCCTGGTTGTTTTCACTTCTTTAGCTAGGGAATAGATTTACTAAAAATTTAAGTTACAGTGGTAGCTGACTTGTATATTGGTGCAGCCTGTTTGAGGTTGCTGGATGAGACCAGTCTTGGTTAACAGCTCACACCCAGATGCTCTGCTCTGTCCTACTCCCTGGGGAGGTGTTGGAGCCTGCAGCACTGTCTGCATTCCTCTTCTTTTCTGGGGAGGGGGGTGTGTGTGTGTGTGTGTGTGTGTGTGTGTGTGTGTGTGTGTGTCTGTGTGTATCTCAGTTTCCTTCCTTTCCCTTGTGGTCAGGGGGCACTGGAGTTCCCTGGGGCCTGGCTAGAGTTATTTGAGCACAAAACAGCCTTGCTGCTCTTGTAACCACATCAGCGTGTGCTGGGTGTGGGGAAGGGGATGCTGAGCATTGAAAAACCTTGTGTGATGCAGTGGATGGCTGTTACAAATCTGTGTGTCAGTTCAATTCTTGCCATAGAAGTGATTATTCATTCCTATCTTCCATTTCCTCTGCTCCCTTTTAAAGAAGTCAAAGCGGTCTGCCAATGAAAGTGGGGAAGAACACTCAGCCAAATACAGCAACTCAAATAACTCAGGTAACTACAGAGAGAGGAATTTGCTTCTGCACAGCTATGTCAGTTTTGTTCTTATTACTGTCATTTTCACTCTGAAAAGATTTGGGATTACCAACACTTTACATATTTGACTATCAAAGCCTGGTACCACTGTTTTGGGTATTTAATAATAAGTAAAATTGAGGGCTTAAGAATCTTGTCAATTTTATATTTTCAGCTGCCTAATTTAAAGTAATGTCTCCTCTCTTCTATGCCCCATTCCTGAAAAAAATTATCAGTCTCTTCATTGTGTTTGATATTTGAGTTGAATAACAACAATGTCCATTAAGTAATGGGCCATTAAATAATGCAGTCTTCAGAGAGAGTTTCTGGTGATCTGTATTACATAGTAAGGTGTTAAGATGAATGAATTGCTCCTTCAGTGCCAATTTTTAAAACAACAGAGTCTTTGACAAATTTTCATTTAAAAGGTGTGGTTGGTACTATGGAATGAACAGATTACCAGAGTCGATTTTTTTTGGCTAAAATGTGTCCAAAACCAGCTTGTTGTGGAATACAGCAACTGACTGAATATTATCTCTTAGGAGAGATGGGGTGCCACCCATGCATTGGCACAACTCTTAATGTGAACAGAATTTGTATGATGTACTTAACAGCCTAAGCAACAGTAATGTTTCCCACTGAGAAATATTGGGTGCATTTCCTATGTCTTTGGGGCTTCTCTCATACTCTCTACTGTAAAGCCACTGTTGCTATGAATGAGTATATTTCCTAAGATGTGCAAGGAGGATTAGATTTTCAGTCAATAAAGTTGGCCTGCCTCTAGCAATCTGTCCTGTCTGTGTTGAACTGCTGTGTCACAGCTGTAGTTACTTGACTGTTGTTTTATTCAGCAGGCTCTGGGGCGAGTTCCCCTTTAACATCTCCATCATCCCCCACTCCACCCTCCACAGCAGGTACGTTCAAGAATCATTACAGTTTTTATCTTTTTTTATGTTGTTTTTTACCCCCTCTGCCCCTCAGTGGTGGTGTTATTCCCAAGGATGATCAAGGGATGATGTTTTTCAAGGATGGAGCACCGAGATGTCAGTTACCTTGTGGCAGCCTGAGTGTGGGCATGTGCTATTTTTTGAGGTCACAGAGAACCTATTTTGTAATTATAACCTTTCTGAGATACACATGACATGATTTACCCAGGGTGTACCTGCTTGCTTCAAAGTCTGTATTACTCCAGGCCTACCCACATTGCAACTTTCCAGGCATTTTTTTGGGCCTCATGTTGCAGTATGCATTTGTTTTGGTGTTAATGGTCTGTTGACTCTGAAATACTGCTTGTCCATCCCTTGTTTCTTTGTTCTTTTTATTCCTGTACTGCTGTGATTTATTTTCAGGAATTTTAGGTGTGACAAATTTGGTGGCTTAAGCTTCATAAATCTCCCCAGTTCTGCTACACACCATTGATAACCCAGTAGAGTTTGTAGAAACAAATCTAGAAACAAGACTGATTTGGGTAAAAATAGTATCTTTATTATTTTTGGCCAGTTCTGTTTTTCAGTTTACTGGGTGGCTGTGCAGAGAGTTTTGCTAATGTTTAAAGCAGGGGTGGGAAGTGGTGAAGAATCTGCTTGAGTGGGCAATAGAAATACTGTGAAAGTTTAATTACAAATCTGAATATTGAGCAGTAGTGGATATGCTTCAGTCTAAAAGACTGGAAGAGGAACACTGGCCAATATTAATAATAAAAGATATTAACAGAATACATTTCTAGAGGGGAAGCAGCCCATGGCATTGCCATTTTTTATGGCGACTCTTGCCATAGGATTTATGGTCCCAGGAACTTTCTCCATAGCACAAGTCATTAACCAAAGCAATGAAATCAAATTTGTCTTTGCTGTGCATAGTCTTTCAAAGGACACTGTAGTCTGTGTGATGTAATTCAAATCAGTCATGCTGAAATTCAAATTAGTAATTTCTCCTTCAAGTTGAGGGCATGAGAAGTGTGTATGGTAGGAACTAACCCAGTTAACCTAAGCAAGATAATGACTGTTACTGTGTAGCACAGTAACAGTGCTGTTCTCTGGATGCACTGACTGTGATCTAGAGAATTTGTTGCCAATCCTGCCAGGGCTTCCATAAGGATGTAGCTGACATGTGGCTCCAAAATGGACAGATGTATAGAAAGCATTCTTTCCCCTATAAAACTGCTGTTTAGTTATGTTCTGACTTGGACTTGTTGGAACTTGGTTGAAAGCTTTTTCAAGTTTTAAGCATGAGATGCAGGTTTATGTGCAGATGTGGATCAAAATAGCTCAGGTTGGTGCTCAAAGCTTGTCTCAGTCCAAACCATATTGTCACAGTGTGTCTGTTGGTTGTCTTGTGGCAGTGTGCTCCTCATGACTTGTGGGGATCAGCCCTGTCTGACATGGTGCTTGTACCCATCCTCACACTGGAGGTGCCTTAGTGAGCCAGTGGCTTGGATGCTGTTTATGAGGTGTAAAGCCAAGTGTCACATGTTCAGGAATGCTTTTGTGAGTAGAATTTGTAGAAGAAATTTCAGATATTAATTCTGAGAGAAAACTAGATTTTTTTTTTCACCAGCAGTGTTGTAGTTTTAGCTGTTCTAAGCAAGTCTGCTTTTACTGCCTTGAGGAAAGACACACTGGTCCCATGGTAGGACCTTGTTTGTGACAAGTGATGCATCTGTAGCTTGCATTTCTCTCTTCTAATTTCCTTGTACTTACTAAGGATATTTACCTCTGTACCAAAATTGCTCGTGGGTGTCAGTGTGGTGAGATGATTCTAAAAAAGGCATTGAAGCTTTCAGTCTGTCTAGTTTGGTATGGCTGTGTGAAAACTCGGGCCTCTCAGAGCATCCTGCTGATACAATACCACAGCAAAACTAAGGCTGATGGGGAAAAGTGCCCTCAAGAGAAGCTTCTGCTCTCATCCTGGCCTGTAACTGGTCATACATAGTGTGGGTGTGTGCAGAGAGAGACACTGTCCAAAGGGGAACGGGCTCCAGGCTGACTTGCCCTGGGAAGGAACCTCATGCAGGGGGTTGCTCACGTGTTGAGAGGTTCTTTGTCCCTGAACAAAAGCCCTGGGAGGCTTGGCTTGCAGGAGAGTGCTTGGGAGAATTGATGGAAAACAGACTGAGGAATAAAACCATGGTTGGGTTCCGCTGTCTTACGGCAGCTGCAGCTGCAGGACGGAGAGCATGGCCTGCTCTGAGGGGAAAGGTGCCTCTGGAGATGTAGGCTCTATGGGCTCTTCTCACTGGTGAGAACCTTTTGGGCTGGTGGTGTTGCAGGTATTTGGCTAAATAACATATTTGAAATACATTGTTAGGTCAGGCAAGTGACTCTAATGTAACATCCTGTGTTTCTAACATTCTCCCAGTGTAGTTTTTTTTTTTTTTCCTCCACAATTCTTTGCTTCTGCTGGGAAAAACCATTCATTTTCTTTGTGGCTGTGAGCAGTGGCTAGGATCAGAAGGGGTGCAGAACAGTGTGGTATGGGTTATTTAAAATTTCACTGAATATTTTCTTAATCAGATAAGCCCGTAAGATGCAGCAAGATCTTTCAACAGAGAACAATTTGGAGAGTGTCACTTTTGCTTCTCTGGACTTCTCTGCAGGAATAGTTAAAGAATTAAACTTAACAATCTTTTTCCGTGCCAGTTGTTCTGAATCCTTCAGTATGACATATGTTTCATTGACAGCCATATGGTGCATGTTTCCTGCCCCTCACCTTCCTGTAAAACAGTTGGAATGCTGTAGGAAATGCTTTTCCTGAGTCTCTGACCACAAGTGTGAATACAGGTGTTAATACAGCAGGAAGTGTTTCTTGAACTGAATGGATTTTGTCTTCTGTGGCTAATCTTCCTGCAGATTTCTTTCTAAATCTCTCAAAATGCACATTAATCCTGTAGAGCTTGAATTATGGCATGTGCAACTGAAAGCATGTATGTTGTATTTGTTGATCAAGTATAATGTTTAGAGCATGGAAAATGGTGGTTCATTTTTCAGAATTGAATGAAGTATTGTAAATGTAATATGAAATAGTCAATCTACTGTCCTCATATTTGTGAGTAAGAATGTATTGACTTCTGTACTAACTTTTCAGCTAACAGTATGTTTTTCTTACTTTGACACGAGAACTGGATGATTAACTTGTGTCCTCTCTTTTTCTCTGCTGTCTTCAATAGAGCATGCATCATTTTGAACGTGAATTTTCAGAAAAGTAAGCTAATGCTGATTTATCTCTTTAAAGATGCTCTGTTTCTGAATGGGAAAGTTGGATGCAAATCTTGAAGTTGCTTAGTATTGGGAGGGAATGGAAGAAAAAAATCTGAATGTTCTTACAGATTATTTTAATGAAATACAGCATCTTTAAAAACTATCACTAAAATTATTTTCTTTGTTCACATCCCATTCTCAGCCAAGTTTTTAATGCTGTTTGCACAATTGCTGTCACTTTAAATTCATAATTAAGTTTTTGTTTCAATTCAGGCATCAAGTTTACAGCATCTGATTTACTTCCTATTCCTTTTAACACACTCTTTTAACAAAAATGTCCCTGTAAAAACCCTTGGTAAGTTCTTGTTTGAGTGTTTTATTCTTAAAACTGCATGAATGAATATGTGTGTTTGCAGGCAACGTCCCTCAACATATGTATTGGAAGGGCCTAGTGATAGCTAAGCACTTGTGTCAAATGTTTTTTCTAGCAAATAGAGGAAAATATTTAATTGTAGGGCAGAACAATTTCATCTGTAGATGTAAATGTATATGAATGCATGTGTGTGAACTAAGATTTCTTTTGCACCACTTGTATCAAGAAAGAAAGGACAGCTTGGTGTTGATGACCTAACTGAAGTGAATGGATTTGAAGATTTCTGAATCATGCTCTTAATTAACAGGTTCAGTATGTAATGCCCATAGCTAGTGAGATTCTGAACCCTGCAAGTATTTATGTCTTACAGCAGAGCTCAAGTGTAAAGGTGTAATTCTCTGTTATCAGTTTCCCAAGAGTTTAACCACATGATGTTGTCACCAGCTCAATTTCAATAATAGTGAGTCCTGAGGAATTTAACAATTTTCCAGGAAGAAAGGTGCTCTCTGCCCCCACTTCCGTGTCTTTTCTACTCCTGTAAAATAACCAGGCCAAAAGCTGAAGATAACACATAGAATCTTGGCTACTAATATTTAGTGATCCAAGCATTTAGTGTCTTTTTTGCCCTCTGTGTGTCAAACATGTGCCTTCTTTCACCACGTTACCACTGTATTTGTATTCCCTGGCCACTGCTTTATGGTCATTCCCTATTGCATCTTGTGCAACTACTTGCATGGTCTCTTTCAGCCTCACCTTGTAATTCCAGACAAAAATCTTGTCTTTGTTTCTGCAGTTCTTGCATCTCTTTGATGCCATTTCTTTTGTGATTAGCTGCTCTTGGTGCTTTCACAGCATTTTACCTGATCTGTTTGGAAGTAGGCTGGTGCAGGGTCCTGCCCTGACCACTTCAACCACTGAATGGGTACTTGGACTGTTCTTGGTCTTGTTCTTCCTTTGGCCAAGTTTTTCTCTCCTGGCCTCCATCCACGAGACAAACAGGACTCTAATGCTGGGATTGTTTTGTCAGCATTTCAAACAGTAAATTGATGTACATCTTTGGCAAGTGTCAAAAGCAGATTTGTATAAGTTAGAAGGCTCCAGTATGCAATTTATTTCAGTTTGTGCTGCCATTGTGTATAGTCTTGGTTACTTCAGAAAGCAGTTGATCTACATGCAACAGGTAGATTAAACTGTTTCAGTTGATCTCTGGTATTTCTATTAGGACTTTTCCTCTGGAAAGGAAGAGAGTGAAGATGAGCTCAATGTGTACTTCAAAGCTTTGTTTTCACAGAAGGCTTTCATGCCAATGAGAATTTCTCCTGAAGAGCTGGAAGAGCTACAGTCATAGCATATATAAATGTACACTGGCAAAATTGAATGCTTTATGTGAATACTCTGCATTTTGAGCTTGCTCTCATATGTGAAAAGTCTTTTTTCAAAGACCGGTACGGATAGAAAATGAGAGTTTTGAATTATGTCTTTCATCTAGTATAACTGCTTGTTTTAATAACAGCAATTCTGTTTTTACTGTTACTTGTTAGTCTAAAAACAATTGTTGATAAGGAATTGAGAGACAAATGGAGCATGGAGAACTTTTGTCTGCTTTCTGTAGTTGAGCTTTATCCTTCATCAAATCTCTTTTGAGTCAGAGTGGCATAAAAGTTAGATAATTACTTGAATTTGCTCACTTCTAGCAAGCAGTTCTACTTCAGGAACAACAGTCTCTTGGTTGCCTTAATGTTGTTTTACCTTGCCCAGTATCACAGTTCTTGCTACTTACCAGTATATTCCTCTTTGTAGGTCAGAGCTACTGGAAGCAAGTGTTAATAGGTGTAATTTGTCTCTTCAGTCTTCCTATGGCATAACTCATGCTCTTGATGATAGTTCAGATTCGCTGCTGAGTACCAGGATATTAATAATTATGACCCTATTCCTTCCAAAATATGAGACAAGATAGGCCCATTATTGTTTGACTTGAGTAGCAGTGATGCTGCAATGTGCAGCAGCAGAAGCTGCACAAGATCGGGGTGCTTGGGAGAGTGCCTGGGGTAAATAAGGGAAGCCACTTGCCTGGATGGGAACTGCCAGGAAACAGCTCCATGCAGGCCCTCGCTGCTGGACCAGCTGCATGTTCCACTGTGGGCTCTGGCTTCCCAGGGAGTCAGGACGTGGAGGCTGAGGTTGCATGTGAAGCAGAAAGTGGATGTGGCTGGCATAGAAAGCAAGGGACAGAGTACAAGGGTGGCTGGTGGGAACAGGAGAGACAGGCTGGAGGTGTGTGTGACAGTGTTGTGATTCATTTAGTCTGTCAAAGCAACCATGTGTTACAACATATTTGGAGAAAGTCAAACAGAACTTTGGAAGTATAAAACACTTCCAGAAAACTCTATCTGCAGTTACTACTGTAGAACTGAAGTATAATCTGGCCAAGTGAAATGTTCATCACAGATACTACAGTGATGTGATTCTTCATTCATAGGAATGTCAAGTGAGTTATGTAAGTAAGAACAGGTAGTAAAATTTGCTTCCAGTCTTCGTTACTGTTCATATCCCAAAGAACAAACTGCCTCACTAGGGACAAAAAGGAGAAGCTGAATCTGGGAAGTCCCGTTCAGCAATCTGTTTTCCTTGGTGCATGATCACACATGAGTCATGTTTTACATCTGAGTCCTGAGGCCCTTCAGGCTTCATTTCAGAGGCATCTCAGATGACATGACTCACCTGCAGATAGAGGGATTTGATCACTTCGGCATTTTCCATCTGTTCTGTTCCTCACACTCCACTGGCATTCAGGGGATGATGGGACTAATCCAGCCAAGCAGCCGCAGGCCTCTGGGGCAGGACATCCCTGGCATAATCAAACTGCACCTTCTCTCCCCACCTTCTCAGGAGCATCGTCCGTCCCCCCAGCGCCGCCCCTGCCTCCGCCGCCGCCCGCAGCTCCTCCCCCGAGCACAGAGGTGCCCGCGGCGCGGCCCGAGGTCAGCGCAGGCCGGGGAGCCTTGCTCAGCTCCATTCAAAACTTCCAGAAAGGAACTCTGAAGAGAACACAGACCTGCGACTACAGTGCTCCCAGGATCAGCTGAGGCCATTGGTCACTCCAGGATTCAATTCCCTCTCCCCCTCCTGTGCTGACCCTCCTGACCAGCAACGGACCCACCAGCACACAGCAGCTGCAGCTCCCTTCTCCCGGGTTTCAGCTTTCCTGGGGAACAGCACTGCTCTGCCCGAGTTGCTTTGCCATGCTGGCATAAGTACTCTGGTCTCTACTTGGCTGCAAGAACTGTGTTCTCTAGCTAGTTTCAGGGGTACAGCAACTCCTCTACAGCTGAATAAAAAAAATCTGAAAATAGGAATCACCATGATGATGGTAAATTAATGCATTTTTGCTAGCTCCATTCCACCCCATTTTTCAAATTACAGGAATGTAGTTTTAGTCTGCTCAGTTTTTCAACTCTTTTCATGCACTTGTAACTCATCTTAATTCTTGCTGCATGGAGTCAACAATGTTTTACATAATCCAACCCTTAAAATGTACTGCACAGGTGAGGGAACTGGAGAATTAAATCTTATTCCCACCACGTTTGCTGGTGGAGTTAAAATGCTGTCTCATGAAGCTTGTTTAAATGGACATCCTACCTGCAGCTCCAGGGGAAAGTGTTTTTAAATGAGGAAGCAGTTGAAGTGGGAGGCTATAGGGCACTGGGATGTTATTGTTGATTTAATTAAATGAAAAGTTATTTTGAGTTAATTCTATCATTTAAACTTTATTGAAAGATCCTTTTTGATTTAAAACCTTAAACAAATTGCACTTTAAAGGATTATAGATAATCCATTTTTTTAAATTCAAGTACATCAGTGTTTGTTACTATGCAGAGAATGTCTGTACAAAGTTTCATGTAACCTGTGATATTCAGTCATTTTTATTAAAATGTTAATGGAATTCCTTCAGCAGCATGTGGTGGATATGTTCCAGTGGGATTCAACCTCCAAGCCAGACCTCCCAAGAACTGAGCAGCACCTCTGCTAAAGGAAATACCCTGGGAAGTATTCCTGGCTCTTCGAAAATAGGACCCAAGCTCTTCTGTCTGTTTACAGATCCTCTCCCCACATTTACCTGAGCGGCAGAGCAGACCCTGCTGCACAGGCTCCTCAAGGCAGCTTTCCCTCTGTACCAGAATCTGCTGAGGGAAGCCTGGCAGAGCTCCCTGGGATGCAGTGATCTCCAAAAGGCTGCTCTGAATGTGTCCTATCTCTTCATACACAGCCCACACACCTGCTGCCTAGGCTCAGTGCAGCTGAATAAACTAACTCATGTTGCACTGCAAGAACTATAGCAAGAGTGTGCTGTTGTCAGCCCAGGTGGGGAGTTAAAAAAAAAAAAAAAAAAGAAACCACAAAAAATCTCGAGTAGTAAAAGCAAAGCATCTGGGCACTTTTTTTTTTTTTTTTACTTCTCCCTTATGTGGCACCTAGTAAAGAAAAATTAGGTATTGTTTCCCATCACATAGTGGAAAGGTTCAGGATCTTTATTTAAGCTCTTGTTCAGAAACCTTTCTGCATTGCAGAGTGCTCTTCAAACAGCCATCATCTCTGAACCCAGCCTCTGGGTTGCCACAGCCTCTGCTCAGAGTTGCAGTGAACTGCTGTCCTGATGGGCTGGGCTTCAGTGATCAGCCTGATCATTTCTCTTTAATGAGCCTTGCAACCTCAGGCTCCTGCAGCTGTACAGCATTCGAGGCCTGCTCTTGCTCTCTGCAGCTCTGCACTCAATCACTGCTGCAGCAGGTTCAACACAGCGCCTCTGGTACTTACAAGCCAAGCAAAACCAGGATTTTTCCCTCACTCTAAATTTAGAACAGGGTTTCTCCACAAACAGTAGCACTAACCCAGCTGTACTGTTGAACAAACAAGCATTACCACATTGCATATAGGAAGTGTGGCTTGGGGGGTTACCCTATATAAATATTTTAGGAGGTCATTATACTTTCCCCACTGTACAAAAGATCATGGAGCTTACACAACAGAAATTATGCATATAACATGCCCAACACCAAGAATGCCTTGTAGAGCAGGATTTTAAAACATCTATTTACAACTTATATATTCAAAGTTTTTTTCACTGCAAATACTATATCCTTCACTTGAGGTATGCTGTTATCCTCTAAGATTTTTGCGTAAGGCATGGGGACATCAGCACCGGTGACACGCACAGCTGGAGCATCCAAGTAGTTAAAGGCAGGTCCTGAAACAGAAGACAGTGTCAGGTTGCCAAGTACTATGGTTTTATCTTGATTCCATTTCTGAATGTTACTCTATTTAAACAATTTTGTTCCTGAAGCTTTAATATTCCAGAAGGCAGCATTCTGGCTTGTTTGTGTTCATGCACTCTGGGGTTTGGTCATCCACCCTATGAAAATCTCTAGAGTGAGACAGCTCCAGCTCGTCTGATGTTACCTGTAACTCTGCTTTTGCCTGGCTTCATCAAGAATAATCAGGATTTAGAATAGGGAATGAGATCAATGTGCTGTGAAACTGAGTACCTTCCATGATCCTGGCACAGATTTCAGCTCCTACTCCAAACTGGGGCCAACCTCCTTCCACGGTTACCAGATGGTTTGTCTTGACCACGCTGGCTTCCACCGTTTCGATGTCCATCGGCCGAATGGTTCGCAGGTTTATAACCTGGGAGGAGGGAGAGTGTGATCCTGGCTCTGAGCTGAGCCTTCAGTCACCTCGGCTGGGGTACAGGGCCCCTCAGCACTTTCAGCTGTTCTGACTCCAAAGACAAAGATCCCTAACTCAGAAACGTGAAAGGCACATGCTGCCAAGGCACTTGCAAGCATTAAGACACTTGTAGTTTTGCAGAACTTTTTTTCCCCCACTTCAGGGATATAGAAAAGTAATCCAAACCCTACTCACCTCACACTCTACACCTTCTTTGGAAAGTACAGCAGCTGCTTCCAAACAATGGCCAACGGGTCTTGAGTGTGCTACTAATGTAACATGAGTTCCTAGAACAGACACAAGTGGTAGAAAAAAAATCTCTTGAGATTTTAAGTTTTTTTCTAGACCAGGCTCCTTTCAAGGCAGCATTAGGATTCACTTCCAAATTTAAGGTTCTTATTTGAAATACTGAGCCCAGACAGAACATGAAGAGCGGAAGGGTCATGTTAAGACACAAATTTTGCCCTTGAATTTAATATAGTTTTCAGATTATTCTATTCAAAAGTTCATATAGTTCAAAGGTAAATTATGAACAAGTGGGCTGAAACACTACAATGATCTCTTTTTGCATTTTTGACCAAAATCACATACTTAGGTGAGGAGAAAACTGTTTGAGCCATCACTACCCAATCTATATTACAGAACAAATCCTTTATGGAGTTTTTTAAGCTGAGATATGGACAATCAGGTAATATTTCCTTGTAAGGGCAACAGAACACGAAACCACACTACTGGATAAAAGAATATTTGAAATACTTTCCTTTGCCCCGTGACAGCAGTACCCTGAACAGACAAAGGTTAGAAAGTCTCCAAGCATGTCAATTAATAAGGAAACAAGTGCATTCTCAGCTTACCTTGCCTTTCTATTTTAGCTTTTCCAATGGGAATAATAAACTCCTTTGATTGTGCCTGTTCAGACATTTCAAAGGGAACACTATAGAGTAATTCACTTTCCAGCATCACAACTAGAAGGAAACATACTTGGATTAGCATGTACACCTGCAGGCACAGGCCTGCACTGACCACTAACAGTCCTGCAGCTCAGGACAGTAAACCCACCCAGGCAACAAGGGAGTGAGGACTATGTTTACAGAAGGAATTTTAAAAAATGTAAATCTTAAGTCTTTACTTCAATCATGAAATATTTTAAAAAACTTCTAAAACTACTCAGAAATGAGGTGAGCTATTTTACTTTTGGTACATGACAGTACAGTCACTAGTTTTAGAAAGATTTCAAACTTTTAATTACTGTTTGTGAAAAAATGAAAGTCAAAGGTTGCCCTGCTCTTAAAAAAGGACATTCTGAATTTATCATTTAAATTTCATGATCTATAAAATTGAGTTATATAGGCACTATATATGCAGGAATATAATAATATAATCCTCCTAACTCATCTTTACCCTTTTTAAACCCTTTATGGTAGATTTATAAATGCTTCCAGGTTTCCTGGTTGATGCCTGTGCAGCAGTACAAAATCACTCTACTGTTAGCATGGAGGGAAAGCATTAATCCCTCTGTGTCTTTTTACACACCCTACACCTGCAGCCAATCAACCTTGAGCGCTTTAAGGTTTAACCAATCTTTGTTTTTGTGGGGAAAACCAGCCATTCCTTAGGATCGGCTGCCAGGTATTGCTACGACCTCCAGGCTCACCTGGATTATCATCCCGGATGGATGCTTTCAGCAGCCCTTTGGCATCCTCCGAGCTCCAGGGGCTGACGACTTTGAGGCCGGGGCAGTGGCCGTACCAGGCGGCGAAGCACTGCGAGTGCTGGGCAGCCACGCCGGCCGCGGCGCCGTTGGGACCCCGGAAGACGATGGGAACAGAGATGGATCCTGAAGACATGTAACAGGTCTTGGCAGCAGAGTTGATCACCTGGTCGATCGCTTGCATGGAGAAGTTGAACGTCATGAATTCACACACTGGTCTCAACCCTGCCTATTAAATGTATTGAAATATGTTTTTTTACATAAAAGCATGAAGTATGCTATTTGACATAAAAACAGTTTAACCTTTAAAACCAGAAGTAGAGAAATGCAAATGTACAAACCATAGCAGCACCAACAGCGATTCCTGCAAAGCCCATCTGAAAGAGAGGAAAACCAAGGGATAAGCACCAGGGAGCAGCTGATGGAGGGATCACCACGATAGGAGAGAGGGCAGCCTGACCTCGGATATCGGGGTGTCGATCACCCTTTTGTCCCCGTACTTCTTCCAGAGACCCCTGGAGATCTGCAGGGCAGGAGAAAGGAGTCAGCGCCCGCCTGAGGCCCCTTCCCTGTCCGCCAACGCCTCCCTCGTACCTTGTAGGCGCCATCGTACTGTGCCACCTCCTCGCCCAGCAGGAAGACGCGCTCGTCCCGCTCCAGCTCCTCATCCAGCGCCTGGTTCAGCGCGTCCCGCACCGTCACCTGCGAGACAGGCGGGCTGAGCGGGGACACGCTCCCCACACGCCGGGAGTCACCTCGGCCCAGGGCCGAAGTCCCCTCACCGCCCGCCCGCCCGCCCCGGGGCCAGACCCTTCTCTGAGGGGCGCGAGCCCCGCTCGGGCGGCAGCGCTCCCCGCTACCTGAATGGCGGCGGGCGCGGAGAGGCGGAGCCCCCGGCGCTGCGGGAGCCGCAGGAGCGGGGTGCCGGCGCCGCGGCCGTGCGGGGCCGGGCGGGCGCGCAGCGCCAGGTGCCGCAGGGCCGCCGCCGCCATCTTGCCCGTGTCCTCTCGCCCTGCACCGCCGGCCCCGCCCCCGCCTCTCGCGAGAGCGCCCGCGCCGCGCGAACGGCGGCGAGGGGCGCGCGGCCTCCCTGCGCCACTTCCGGCAGCGGGGCCGCGCGGGGCCCCCGCGGGGCCGCGCGCCCGAACGCCCCGCCCGCGGCCCCGGCCGGGCCCGCGCAGCCCCGCGGGGACGCGCGCGCGGGGACGCGCCCCAGCCGCCGGGCGGCCCCGTGGGCGGCGGGAACGCGCGGCCCGGGCGCGCCGCCCCGCCCCCGGCCGCCGGGGCGGGGCTCGCCGGGACACGCCCCCGCGCCGTCCCCGCCCGCGCCGGCGGCTCCGCTCCGGGCTCGGGCACCGTCCCCGCCGCCGCTGCTGCCGCCGGGCTCCGCCTCAGCGCCGAGAGCTGCGCCGTGAGTGCCGGGCCGGGCCGGGCGCGGGGCCGAGCCCGGGGCTGCCCCGGCGGGGCCGCGGACGGGAGCGCGGCGGGACGGGCGGCGAGCGCGGCAGGAGCCGGGCCGGGCTCCGGGGCCGTGCGCGGCCGGGCGCACGGAGCGGAGGCCCCGGGTTCGGGTGCGGCTGGCACAGGCGGTACCGGGTCCCGTTCCCGGTCGGGCGCGGCGGGGATGCCCGGGTGAGAGCCGCGGCGCCCGGCGGGATCCCGGCCGGGACCGCGGGCTTTGCCGCGGAGCGGGCGGGGAGCGGCTCCTGCCGCCCGCGGCACAGCAGGCAGAGCCGGGCTCCGGCCGGGGCGGGGGTCGGGCCGTGCACTCCCGGGTCACTTTAAAGCGGGGAGAGAGGCAGAACGGGTTAGCTCCAGCGTCTTTGCTGAATCACTCTGATCCGGGGAGAGTTCTTTTACCACGGTCTCGTTGGCCCTTCTGGCATGGAAACGGGCACTTCCCGGCTCCTGCTGAAGCCCTGGACCCCACTCTGGGCTTTCAGGGGGATTGCTGTCCCACGTACCTGTCACTCCTTGGTCCGTATGTGTGCTAAGCTCCACCTGTGTGTAGGCAGATTCGATGTTTCTGACGCCTGCCCTCCGCCTAAACTGTTCAGAGATATGTTTCTCATTGGAAAAACATTGGTTAATATCACAGAAGCAAAGTACATGGATAAACCCCAATTATTATAACTGGTCCTGGAAGGCTGAGTGCCTTGGGTTGCTTCAGCAGGACCAGGCTGGATATTTAGAGTCCTCTTTTGGGTCTCTTATAGGAGGGCCAAAGTTGTACTGGAATGTGGGCCAAATAAAGGTTTGGAATCAGGACTTAGAATGTCATAGAGCTCCTTGGGCAAGGGATGGAAACTTCAGGAGCTTGGAATTCACAGTGAAGCAATTAAACATAAAGGAGTGAAAATGTTGAGTGGCTAGCGTGAGTGTTTTTCCATCCTGCCTGAGGTAAAGACTGTGTATTAGTAAAAAACAGGTCAAGAAAAGCAAGAGCTAAGTTAACTTCTAATAAACTGCATTAGTCATGATAAACTTGACATGTGTTGAAGGCGGTAGGTGCTTTCTTTAGTGAAGCTGATCTCCTGAATTGCCAGAAAATTTGGTAACTGGTTGTTTTGAGAATGCTCCTCCTCCTCACTCCCCTGGTTAGGGTGGCACAGAGCTGGAACTGTGCTCTGCAGACCATCAGCTCACTCTAGTTTGGTGGAGAACAGTCAGCACTGGTGCTGCTCAGTGTTTGTCAGTTCAGGTGAGTCACCAATAATTTACAGTAAGAACTTGCCTCTCAGATATTCTGACTGGCTGGGAAAGAGAGAGCTTGTCCCTGTACAGTGTAACTGTGCTGGTAGATGGAGTTTCTTCTCATCTTGTGAGATCTAAGTGTGAGAGGCAGGGAGCTCACAAAGGGGGTGAGTAGCTGAAATGCCAAGTGTATGTCAGAGTTTTACCTTGCTCTTTTTCATTTTAAGTTGCCACTGCTAGAATTACTTCCATCTCTCTATTGACATAGGAATCAAAGGTAACTCTTGAGGTTAAACAGCCTGTGCTGTAATATTGATACCAGACTGCCCATGAAAGACGTAAATCCCTTAATTCTTTTGTTTGAAGAACTAGATGAAGAACATCCAGAGCAAATCAGGTGATCTGTGCCTCTGGACTTAGAACAGCTTGGTGTATTTCTGCTCCTCCTTTAAGTAACTGCACGTTGCACCATGGAGTGCTGGTAGCCTGTAGTCCCAGCAGTGTGAATGCCTGGCAGGGCTGTTGGCACCCCCTGGCCTGGCCCGAGTGTGTGTGTGTGTCTGTGTGTTTTCCCAGATGCAGACGTTCATCTGACTCTTAAATGCTTTCTTTGAATTTCAGCTTGCAAACTGGTTTGCAGCTCTGTTCTGGGAGAAGCCCTGCTGGAGTTAGTGGCACTACCTGTTGCAGCAGTGTTGCTGATAAACAGCCTTGTAATCCTCTGAGTCATAACATATGAAATAAGAGTGAGCGTTTTATAAATGCAGGTATCCAGTTTGGTGTGTTGGGTATAAAGTGATGACCTGAGTGCTTTTCTTGCTTCTCACTGTGCCATTCCAGTTCTGGCTGTGCTGGGCTGTGGCAGGAGCCCCAGTGACCGTGTCACTGCTGTGTGTCCTGTCCCTGCACGCAGAGCAGTGTCACGACAGCAGGACTGTGGTTTGACACCATCTGTGCACTTCTGCTCCCACCAGAGAGGGACATCCCATTTGGCTGAACTGTGTCAGCAGTTTGTTTGACTGAATTTCACTTTAAATATTTTTTGTGGTTATCAAATGTAGGCTGCCTTGGGATATGACTGTGTGTCATCTGTAATTTGCTGTCTGGACAGGAGTAGCTGTGTTAGCAAGCTTGTCCCTGCATGCAGTCCATTGGTGTGTGACACAAGGACAGAGCTGGCTTGAGGCTGCCTGTGCTGAAGGATGGATGGAGTGTCTGCCCACCCCCACTGATGATCACTGTATCCCATTCAGGAGGATTTAAAGCATCATTGAAAGGGCACATGTTATGAAGGGTGTCCATCCTCAGCCTTGCTGTGATGTGGTTGGTGAGTCCTTAGCTCAGGTTGTCCCCAAACTAAGCTACTTTCACCTCTGAAGTTGTCTAGAAATTTAGAGCTCCCAGGCTGATAAAGAAAGTAGTGAAGAGTTGGGGTCACACTCGGGCATTTTAGGATGACCTCCTGGTATCATCCTTTTGTGTGGCACATCTTGCTCCAGCACTGGTTTTCCAGGGAGGTCTGTGTGTGCCTTGTGGTTCTGGGTCCTTACACAATGGTCACAGGGATTTCTCCATGCCCCTTCTGTGTTGAGGGCTAGGTTTGTTTCAGATGATTGCTCTTGTAAATTTTTTACTCCACTGTTACACAGCAATGCTGTGATCAAAGACTAAAGCATGCCTTTGCACTGGCTTGCAGTGGCTCTCTCTTTCCCTGATGAAGTCTTGATTCATCCGTACTGGACTTACATGCTGATCAAAATAACATCATATTCACTAGTTAAAATAACACTGATGGACATCTCTGCCTTTGAAATATTCTGGATGTGTAATTTGAGTTAATTTTATTAAGACTGCAGATCTCTTCTGTCATGATTACTGGTGAGGTTTCTGTCTGGCTGCATCATTTCACTTTCAAGTGATTATCAGAAACCTGTACAGTCTCATATGGTTTTAATGCATCTACATGTCATCCTCGTCTTGTACTTGATCAGGATAACACATTCAAGTGCTAGAATTTAAAAGGTCTGGTTTATTGCTAAAAGTTTGCAAACTGTACTTGAGTGACAATTCCAAAAAAAAAAACCCCAAAACCAAAACCAAACAAAAAAAACACCCTCCAAACAAACAAATAAAAAAGTCCAAACCCAAAAAACAAAACAAAATGAAACAAAAAATCAAACAGCAAAACCCTGAAAGAATTCACTTCTTGCTTTTTAAGGAGTTAAAAAAAATAATTACAGAGGTTGGCAAAAGAGCTGGCGTTCCACGTTTATCTGCTGTAGGGGGATGTGCTTTAATGTACTCTCTTGAGGCATACTCTGTCTCTAATTTGTAAAAATAGGATCCTGGTATGACTTGTTCTGTACCTTAGTATTCCTTAGTCTTGTGTTGTCTGACCTCACTATTTTCATATACTGATTTTGTTTTTTTCACTCTTTAATCCACCTGAGATGCAGCTGGGGCTGTGCTTGTGCTGCTGGGTCCCAAAGACCTGACCTGCTGGACACTGTTTTGCCCAGGCTGTGGATTTGGGCAGGGCAGCAGGGCACAGAGAGGTGGGATGTGCTGTCTTCTTCTGTGGTGAATGAAACCAACCTCATTTCCTAGGAATGAGAAGGGCAAGTTATCTTTTTTTGTTTGGGAATTAATTGTGAACATTCAGTTGTTTTGGAATGTGGGGCTCTGGCTTGGCTAAATCTTTGTGCTGCCTTTAGCTGGGGTGGCTGTATGTTGAAGTTTGTTAGTAACGAGGATGGGACCAGAAGTCTTGGGAACTGTGTGGTCTTTTAAGATGTAAAAATAAACAAAGCTGAGAAGCTCTACCCTACTTAAAACAAGCTGACCTAAATTTTCAGCAATTCTAGCAGAGAGGCAGGCTCTGGGTAGGGATAAAGGCTTACTGACAACTGGCTTCCCTGTCCTTCCATCGCTTGACAAGGTTGACAGGCCACCTTTGGCAAATCAGCACTGGAGTCTGAGGTCATTCACTTCCCCCTTCTTAAGCTGCCAGCCTGGCTGTGGATTTGCCTTGTGCTCCTGTGGACAGTCCCCTTGTTATGCAAGTCAACAGTTCAGCATCTTCTGGGAAGTCACAGCATGAATCTCTTCTCAAATTGCTTTTGTTGGAGTGTGTTGACAGCATGTTAGATGTCCTTTGGCTTGTCCCTACAGAGATTGCTTTTGAGAGTAGGCGTCTGGAAAGTCCTTTCATACTCTTTGTCTGTAGATTAATGTTCTTGCTATCAGTTGCAGTTCTCCACTACTGAATTATTAATTCTGCAGTGAGGGATTTTTCTTTTTAGTGTTCATTGACTTTCATGCTCAATTTATTTTTCTGAGCAGTTTGAAACTGGAGCATGGGAATGTTGACTAATATTAACGGATCACTTGTGTGACCTCAGAGGTGGCTAAATAAACTTTCTTAATTGGGAAAATGGCATCTGTCTTTCAAAGTACTCACAGTTTCCCAGGTGAAAGGTTGCTTGTGAACATGTATTGCCCTCAGAAGCACATTGCTTGTTTTTCAAGAAAACTGGGATGTTCAGGCAACCAGTGGAGTGGTTACGTGTGCTCCAGAGACAGTCCTGTAGGTAATGTGATGGGAGAAGGAGGGAAAAGAGGGTTTGCAGATTCTCCTGCTAGTGTGACTTTGTAGCTGAATGTTTTCCTGGCAGAGAGCCTGTCTTTGATTGGAAAGCATTCCCCTTGGTGTTCTTGTAGATACTGATGGTTTGCTGTTTTGTTCTGTGTTTGTGTGTGCTTTTTCCTGCAGGAAGATAAGAGGAGAGGAATTGTGTATCCTTTCAGCAGCCTTCTGTTAAACTTGGAATACCACAGCTCAAGCACGTGAACAGATGGATAATGGAGACTGGGGATATATGGTGAGTGCAAGTGTGCACTGTGCACTACAACTGGGCTTCCAAGGTCTTGCAGCAAGAATCCTTCCACATCTGCCTTCTGTAGATTGAGCTTCAGTTGTGAGAGAAGGAAAACTATGCCTGTTAAAATAGCTTTACAACAGCTTACACACCTTCCCTGGAGTGCTGCACCTCCTGTGCCATTTGTGGGGAGTGCCCAGGTTCACATTTGCTAGGGACAATCAGCCAGGACTGAACTGATGCCTTGAGCTCCCTGTTACCGTTTTCCTAACAAAAATGCTGAAAATAGTTCATGCTTTTTGCTTATTATTTTAAGGATTTTTGTCATTTTATTTATCAAGAAAAGTATTTTTTCTTGTAAATCTTGTGTTAAACTAGACAAGCACATCTTATTTTTCTCCCCTTCTCATTCTGCTGCCATGCATATGTCTCTTTTCTCTGGCTGGCTGCAGTCCTGGTTTTTAGAGTTGGTGGCCAGATGGGATTTATGTTCCTTTCTCTCTTGCTTCCTCATGTGCTATCTGGAATCTGATGCAGACTGGTTTGTGCTCTGCTCCCCACTTCTATGCAGCATGCTAATTTGTTAATAAATATTTCTTTTTAGAATTAAAAGCTGAAAGTTCTTTTTCTCCCTTGCCTGTTTTAACGAAGCCTCTGAGCCGAAGTGTGGATTATTTTGATTGTGAGCTCTTGGTCCCCTATGTTTAAACCTGCACTGTCTTCCTCTTTTGAGGGATAAAAAGAGGCTTAATGTTTGTTTGGCTTTTTTTTTTTCCCTGTTTTTTTGGTTTTGATTTTGTTCTAGAATGAGAGCCAGATTGTGAAAGTAAGGAACATTGCTCGTCCTCATTCTGACTAACTTGTTCTTCAGGAAATTTCTCTTTTCTCATTTCCCCATCTGTAGAATAGGAAAAAACTTGCTGCCCGAATGCTAAACTTGATCCTGCAACAGTAGCTCAGTTGTTAAGATTTCTAAAGCATTCTGGAAATGTGCATTCTGCATGCTAAGTACCATCCTGTCTAGTTGCCAGTTGTGCCTTGTTGCTAGGTGGCTTGGATTTGTTCAGGTTTGAACAAATAGAGGTGTTGAACAGAAGTGTGATTTCCCCCCAGTTTTCCAGCAGTATTTGCCAGGTGTGTCAGCAAGGTGATCGAATCTTCTTGTTGGGGCTTGATAAACTCTGCAATTTCTCTCTTTCTAGATGACTGATCCAGTCACGCTAAATGTGGGTGGACACATGTATACGACCTCCCTCACAACTCTAACGAGATATCCTGACTCAATGCTCGGGGCCATGTTCAGGGGAGACTTCCCCACTGCCAGGGACTCTCAGGGCAATTACTTTATTGACAGAGATGGACCACTTTTCCGTTATGTTCTTAACTTTTTAAGGACCTCAGAGCTCACTTTGCCACTGGACTTCAAGGAGTTTGACCTGCTCCGGAAGGAAGCAGACTTCTATCAGATTGAACCCTTAATTCAGTGTCTTAATGACCCCAAGCCGCTGTATCCTGTGGATACCTTTGAGGAGGTGGTGGAGCTGTCCAGCACCCGGAAGCTTTCCAAGTACTCCAACCCGGTGGCTGTGATCATCACGCAGCTCACCATCACGACGAAAGTCCATGCACTACTGGAAGGCATTTCAAACCACTTCACCAAGTGGAATAAGCACATGATGGACACCAGGGACTGCCAGGTGTCCTTCACCTTTGGGCCATGTGATTACCACCAGGAAGTGTCGCTCCGAGTCCATCTCATGGAGTACATCACAAAGCAAGGCTTCACGATCAGGAACACCAGAGTCCATCACATGAGCGAGCGTGCCAACGAAAACACAGTGGAACACAACTGGACTTTCTGTAGACTGGCACGGAAAACAGATGACTGATTCTGACTCCACAGGAGCCACTTCAGTGATTAGCAACTTAATTGGGCAGTGTACCCAAGAGAGTCTGGATTTTGACTAAAGCAACAATATGGGCTTTTTTTATACGACTATTTATTGTTTATCAGTGAGGACTGGAGGAGTTCCATTCTCTAGCAGCTCTGTTCTTTTGTCCAGTTCAGAAAAAAAACCGTGCATGTGCCTGTTCAGTCAAGACACCTTTTTGTTTGAAAGAGGGAGTCCGAAGAATCAGTACAATAGGGTATTTTGTGTCATTAACACAATTCTCTGACTCAACTCAAAGTGCTAAAATTACCTCTTGTTTAAATTGTTTCTAATTCATCTAATGCTATGACACTGGGAGCAAGAAACAAAAAGATTTTAAAATGCAGTTGGGGAGAAGCTGCTATTGTGTAGACTAATTTAGTTTCTAAATCAATAAACAGTATTGTAATATTCTAGGAAAACAAATCCCACCCTTTAAATGTACTTGATAAGTACAGTTTCTTACAGTTATGACAACTGTTTCTTTCTATGCATATAAATCAAGCAACCAAATATTATCTGTAGCCATGGAAATATGATTACAAATATTTATATTGGATTCTAAATGCAAAATGTCCCTGTGGTAGAATTCATATTTTTAATGCCTGGTGCAATATTATTCCCAAGTGTAATGCCTGCCAGAAGAAGCTAATAAAAATGTGAAATACAGAATACTGTTTTGTATTTTCTCTTTGTCTTTTAGAATTTTCATACTTAAAAAAGCCAACCAAACAAAAAGCCTCCCACCCAAATTCTGGTTTTTGTGCTGTGGAGTAGTTTGGGTGTTCTGGTAGGGCCCTGGATTCTTCAATTAATGATGTAATTTGTTCCTTTTTATGTTAATCAGTTGATTAAAATGTCATTATAGACAAAACTTGTGTTCTGAAAACTGCTTTAGTTTGATAGAAAGATGGCAAATATTTGTACTGGTTAAAGGGGTAGGGATGGAGGAAACACAGGGCCTAAATACTTGTAGCTGCTAATAGAGTTGCCTGGTTTGTCAGCACTTTATGTGGTATTATATATATATAAATTCCAACTGCAGAATGCTTTTTCTAGTGATGTTGAAGTCAAGGCACTCAAATTCTGTGGCTTTACTTAATTTCATACAGACATTTCTACTTATCCTGGTCCTTTTGTCATAGTTATTAGTAGAATTTCTGGTTATGATCTAACTTGATTGCAGCTGGGAGTAAGGGCGTTGGTATCTGTTTCATGGAGTAGATCCTGTTCTCCCATGAAGTTCTTGTCCCAAGTAAGTGGGAGCTTTCCATCCCATATCTGGCTCTAAAGGCTGTCTTGGGGGGTATTTCTCTGTCGTATTTTGTCTCTTCCTGTTCATACATTGCAGGTTTTTGACTTATGCAATAAGAGGCAGCAGGGAGAGATTTTTTTCTTGCTATCAAGGAGGAAAGAGAAGCAGAACTGATGAAGCTCAGGAAAAGTTGTTTCTTTCTTACAACACATGGTAAGAAATATTCGTGTTAACTGGCATTGAATTATAATCACAAGATGTTCTTTGCAACACTTCATTTATGAGCAAATTAATGACTGGCCTGGATCAGCTTGCCCTTTCCATAATTATGAAGAATAATAATTAGAGAAGCAGTATTCCAAATAATACACTTTATTGGAGCTCAAGATTTATAGAAAGGAGCAGCCTATTAATGGGAAGGTAAATTCTTCAGACTGGAGCTGGCACCAGCTTTGTCTGCATCTTCATTAGGCAGGAATATTCCAGTACTGAGCAAATCAAGAGCTATTTTAATTGTCAAAACAGATGCACTTGTTAATATGCTTTCTGATTGAAGAGAACAACTTGTTCCTAAAAACTAATCATGATTTCACCATGGATTTTTCAGTAAAGTTGGTTGTTTTGGGTTTTTTGAAGGCACTACATAGTTACAGCACACTGAGAGAGGGTTCACAGTGTGGTGGTGGTTTTTCTTCCCCTTAATCATCATATAGTGGATTTAAAAAGAGAATAAGAAAGTCAAATGAGAGAATTTTGATGCTGTCAAGACACTTCAGGATAGAAAACAGTGAACCCTGGACCATTCCTGACTAGATTGTCTCACAGCAGCAGGTACCACTCAGCACTGTTGGCATCTGTCTAATTGCAAATGGCTGGCTGAGAATCTTTCATACTTGTTGTAACTGCAAGTAAGCAACTGATTATTAATTCTGATTAGTCATTACTGATGTTTCATAAATGTACTGCTGCACAAAGAACAGGAGGAAATGTTGCCCTTCACTTCGAACACGTTCTTCATAATTTCGATAGCGTGTTGTGCAGAAGTGGCTTCAAATACCTCTCGTAGGCTGGGCTCATCTGTTCAGAAAGAGAATGTGGAAGGGAATTAATGGCAATTAAGAAGGGAAAGGCTATTTTTTTTCTTAAGAACAGTCTCTGAAATACATAAAGCTGCACTACTTAAGAAAAAGAAAACAACCAACAAACCAGCAGCTCCTTCAACTATGCAAGATTTTTTTCCCCTATAATATGTTCTGTCCTTCATCACCAGACACCACACATCCCAAAGGGGACAGCATGCTATTTAACCTCAGAAAATATGCTTGGACTTGAATGTTTACTGAAGGCAAATTTTGTGTTCCACTGTAGAATTTCAAAGGGATACCGATTACTACAGTATTACTCCACAGGATGTATGAATTGAGAAAGCCAAGTGCTAAAGACCATGAGGGATCAAATGACCTCATTTAACACTTACACTCTTTCTGGTTAAACATATTTAAGAGCCCAAGTTTTGCACTAGTAGAAGCATTAGTGAATAGAAAAGACCCTGCATTTAGTGCTGTTCCATAATATGTAAACAGACTTTTATTTTAGCTTATTCTGTACAATGTGATACAAAGAGGAATTAAAAGCTCTTAATTACAAAGAGGAATTAAAAGCTCTCTTATTTGTACTGCTTTTGTTAGAAGAAAAGCACTTTGTGCCCTGGCTGCTGTGGAGGTTGCCCAGCTGTGATTCATCCCTACCTGGTTGGTGGGTGACTTCTGAGCCCACTCGTAGAGCCGCTGGTAAACCTGCCCGTCGTAGCTGCCGAGAGCAGAGTTCAGGCTCTGGTCCGTGAAGTCAAAAGCGTCCACCAGTGGCACAGCATCCTTCCTACAGAGCACAGGAGTGGCATTCCTGTTACTGAGAGGGTACTGCTTTGCAAGATGGGAAAATAAATCAAAGATAAGCTTGGCAGTTTCCAGGTTTCTACTGGAAAGCTTGTGCCAGTTTTCCTCCTTGTCTTTACTGGGTGGGTGGAAAATCCTGCTTGTTCTGATTCCTCAGAGACATCTCTAGGTGAACCTGCCTTGGCAGGGAGATTGGACTAGATGATCTCCAGAGGTCCTTTTCAACTGTAATAATTTTGTGATTCTGTGATGTTCTACTAATGCCCTGAGTTGTGTGCACTGTTGAGTGGGTGTTTGCAGGGTCTTCACCCTGGCTTCATCACCTGGGCTCCATCCCTAATTCAGGACTCATGTCAGATGTTTTCTCAGTAGTCTCTTCCAGTTTGTTCTTTTGATTTTTGTCTTTTCTTTGTTTCATTTTTCTTATGCTGTATGTGTGTCTTATAAAATGGAATAAGGTTCCTATTAGATTGATGTGAAGTTGCTTTGCTGATCTTCAACCTTCATCCACCTTTCAGAATTTCTATTAATCTCATCATGAGGTGCTGAGCTCTTCTATTTGTGTCTGTAAGAGCAAAACAACTGTGACCCATCCAAGGGCCCATCTAGTCCAGGGGCCAGTGTGGCAGCATGGAGAACCAGAGCACAGGCAGCATCTCCTAAGCAGGAGATTGTTTCTTTTTCCTCATCCTTCCATCATCCTGGGTGTAGGAGGTTGTGCTGGCTGTACCTCACACTTGAGGTACCAGGATGCAGAGTGGTTTGCTCAAATGTCAGCATTTCTATCTTCCAGTTCCTTTTGGGGAAGAGCTGTCTGAGGGTTTGGGAAAGGCTGGGTTTTTGCTACAGACCAGGAAGTGGTTATATTCTTTCTACTAACTGTAAATATGTAAATACTCCATTCTTGAATCCTGTTAACAAGACATGGACTAACACAGAAATTGCAATGAATTCCAAAGACAACATGTGAGGCTTTTGAAAATGTTATGTTACACTTATCACTTAATTCAGATTCTGGTAATCAGTTCTGAAACCCTTTGCTGTTTGGCTCAGCCCTGTTCAGCCCTTGCTTATAGTGTGTTCTTGTTTCTCTCCTGGTGGCTTAGGTAAATTTTAGATACAGTAGCAACTCCTCTCCACCTTAAGTTAGTATGTTCTAAACAAACAGCACTGAATAGTGAAAGCTCAACCCTTTGTCAAAAAGCCCCTGTGAGTGTTGTGGTAAGCTCAGAATTCACAGAGCTGATAATAAAGGGTGTTGAGCAGATGCATCTGAAGTAGCTGTAGGCAGGATTGTTTGGGTACCAGTTGCAGCTCACCCATGGCAACAGAGGTATTAGCTGTATTAGCTGTGACTTGAGCAGATTTTGCAATGTGTGATGGGTTGCTGTGGCTGCCTCCTGCCAGTGTGCTCTGACTACATATTTTCCTGTTTTTACTCTACTGCAGATGGTAGAAAGTGTTCATTACTTCTTCATTTATAATTTAAGACTTCATGTTACAGAACTTTAGAGATTGCAGAGAAGCTGGACACTTGGGTCTGTTTTGCCATGAAAACAAGCTCTGAGTAGACATTTCAATTTCCAGCACTGCCAGGCAATGGAAGTAAAAACTGAATGAGGTGAATTGACTGTGGAGATGTTGCTATAGGTACAGCAGCACCCTTTTATATCTAGCACTTTTTTATATCTAAACTGGATAGCTGTGTGTGTCCTGCCAAAGCAGCTCACCGAATGACAGCCAGGAGGTCCAGGTAGGATGCTGTGACCATGTCCATTTGAGCTGCAGATGTGTATCCATCATGCAAGAAGGCCCCTGAATTTGAGAAGATCCCGTGTAGTGCAAAGAGGTCACAGAGATGTTTCATAATCTTCTGGATGCCAGCCTTGGTCTCGAGTTTTTCCACAGTTTCTGCAAAGTTTTTCACTGCAATGTAGTGGCAGTGAGCCTGGAAAACAAATGCAATCAACAGTGAATGCACCTCAAACACTTTAGTAGGCCAAATGACTCAAATGTTCTTGCAAAGAATATAAAACCTTTTCATTTCCCTGGCACTTCTCCAGTCTGTATCCTTTGTTTGCTGGTTGACCAGGCCTTTTGCATTCATGGCTTACAGTGACAGCAGAAGACAGAATGTGTAAACAGTCAACACTGTGGTATTTGTAAACTCTAGAAAACTGCTTCAGAAATCATGCTGGTACTTATTCTAAGTAGTTCTGATCAATATCCCAAAGAGTTTATGTGAAGGAAACACATTGGAATGTGCTTGTGTGGTAAGTGAATGTCGGTTGTACATCAACAGGAGAAGACTCCTGTTGAAGACCTTGGGCTCATGGTACTTTGGGATGAGTGTCTACAAGGCTTCAGCTCTGGAAACACCACTGTCACAGAAAAACAACCAAATTTACCTCCCACTTTTGTGGTTTTAAGTCAACTAGTAATTTCGGGGTCACACACTAGTAGAATGTTTGACCCAGAAATGACAGAAATATAGCAGAGATGCAGAGATGAATTAAACTGAC